TTTGATTCTTAACCGACTTAAATTATTATTATACCAATCGAAAGCCCTGGATGTGAGGATTATTTTCGCCAACAGGATTGATTTGTTCAGATCATGTTATAAAAAGTTATATCTCGATAAATGCGCTCAATCGTGATTTTGATCTTTATCTGTCTGTAACTTTTTGTATGATGATCTGATCAAATCAATTCTGTTGGCGAAAATAATCCTCACATCCAGGGCGTTCAATTGACATATTATTTATTTAACTCAATTAAGAATCGAAAAAGATATGGCCCAAAATATGGCCAGGTACACAAACGGCCGGTACACAATGATCCCCCGCCCAATTTTTTTTGTTTATTTTTAACTTTGATTCCATGGTTTTTTCCAAAAATTTACACTTTATGATTGTAAATATGTTGTAAATAGTATAAAATTTTTGGTAAAAAAACGCTATATAAATGTTAATATTTATTCAAAAATTTATTTATATGATAGATAGAATTAAATATTTATTTATTAACAAAAAAAGAAATTATTCAATTGATTCTTGTGAAGAAGTTGGGGAAGAGGAAATGAATAATTCTCAGGTTTTTTGAATAATTAAAATAAAAATTATTTTTTTAGCAAATTATTGGGCATATTGTGGACTGCAAAGATGACTATTTTACTATGGTTGCTACTGACTACACTAATTATGAATTGTATATTGCTCCTAATAAGTATGTAAAGTTTGTTTTTTTATTTATTTTTGAGTTAGTCCAACCTTGTACTTATTAAGGCTATGCTTACATAAACAGCGTTTTCCGGAAGAAAATATTTAAATGAAGAAAGGATAGAAATACGTCACATTCTGTATGAAATTTTCTTCCGTAAGACGCTTTTTTGTAGTCACGTCATTCAGCTTTGCGAAAACCTCAGGAATGTCGTTTTGGTGTAGTGGGATAGCGTTCAGGTTTTATTCCCCATGACAAAGGTTCGAATCCTACTGATGAGAAACAATTTTTATTTTTTGTATAATTTCTATATTCATCACGTTACTTTTTAACCAGGAATTTTTCTTAATTTTTATCCTTTCCAAAACCCTTGCCCATTAATTATTTTAAATTTCTCTCTTCCTTGGCATTTCTTTTGCTTTTAATTTTCCTCTTTTAAGGCGTTTATTAATGCCGGAACTGAACGGATTTTATCAATGTAAAGGAACTATATCTGAAAGAGATGATGGACGGATTGCTTTTGCTGTTGAATCAATCAAGAAACTCGAACGTGGATGTAAAGAATTGGTAGAAAATATTCCTCAACAGGATTACCAGACAGCACACAAACTTATTTGTGGATCATCTGACGTTTCTTCTCTCTTTTCTTCTTCATTTTTTGGCAAAAGGTTTCCTTTTTTTCAATTATAAATTAGTAGGGGGGCTGGGTTGACCAGAAATGTGATAAATAGATAAATATTTTTATTTAACCCCTGGAAAAGGTGAAATTTTTATTTTTTTTTTGCCAGCAGGGCTTCCCTGAGACAGGGAATCGACGGATTGCATTTGCTGCCGAATCCTTAGTTAACTCCACACACTCGTATTAGAGTATTTTGCATATACGAATCTACTCTCTATTGATAATTAAATTTTTTTAATTTCTTAAGTCTTATCAATCTTTCTGGGAATCCTTCTAACTCAGAAAGCGTAAAGGATGAAAATGGTTGCGATCTAAATCAAACGGCTGAAACAATTACTGAAGAAACTGACTTAAACAAAACATTGAAAGAAGAGGATTATTCTGATACTAAAGAAAATGGTTAATTTTTAAGAATTTTTAAAAATAATTTTTAGAGCCTTTAAAAGTTGAAAACAACGAAAATGTGCCAGCAATAGTGATTTCACTTGATAAATGCAAAAATATTGCAAATTTGTTTGTTCTTGGACAGAAAGGCCCTTTGATTAAAATTGCTATAAAATCGTTAGTTTTTTGAGGGAAAAGATTTTAAAAAAATTAATTTTTTAAAGTTTGGAAGCCCCAGTTCAATTAGGCCAGTGGTATTCAATTAAATTATGTGAGTTGAAGAAAACTAAAGATTCTTCAATTTGTTATAATAATTTTGCAAAATTGTTGGGAAAACAGCCGCCTTTAAAAACTAAAATTTCTTCGAGTGGAACTGTTCAGGTTTTTGATTTAAAAATTACTAAAGAAATTTGACAAAAAAATTTTAATAAATTAAAATATTAGGATATAGTGTAGTTCACCGGAGGTAAAATTCGGGACGAGACATATGTCATTCGATTTGTCTCGGCGAGCTGAGTCGAACGGTACCACTCCCAATTTCAGGAAATGATTCTGGACCGAGTTATAGGTCCCGAAAAATCGAAAAACCAAAGGGGGGAGTAAGCACTTTTTTGGTGTGAAAAATTCGAATGTACAAATTATAACTCATTCGAAAGAGCTCGTCGAGCTGAGTCGAATGACACCAAAATCAACGAAATCCGACTTGATTGGACCGAGATATAGACCCCCTAAAAATCGAAGATCCAAAGGGGCGATTTTTGGAATAAAAAATTTTTTATACAAATAATACCTCATTCGAAAGAGCTCGACGAGCTGAGTCGAATGACACCAAAATCAGCTTGATTGTAAAAGTTTGGACAAAGTTACAATAGAAAAACAAACAACATAAACCTTTGGGTCGTCGGCGAGGCGCTTGTGCAAAACCCCGTGCTTCGCGCGGGGTTTTGCGGCACGCGCCTCGCGAGGAGTCTACGGGCGCTGGGTCTGGGCTCGTAACATAAACCTATTCCCATCTCCCTTGCTCTGGACGTATTTGGGGCCTCCGTAGCAGCAAAAATCTCCACAGATCCCATAGGTAAGGAGCTAAAATAAAAGATCATAACTTTGTCCAATCAAGTCGGATTTCGTTGATTTTGGTGTCATTCGACTCAGCTCGACGAGCTCTTTCGAATGAGTTATAATTTGTATATTCGAATTTTTCACACCAAAAAAGTGCTTACTCCCCCCTTTGGTTTTTCGATTTTTCGGGACCTATAACTCGGTCCAGAATCATTTCCTGAAATTGGGAGTGGTACCGTTCGACTCAGCTCGCCGAGACGAATTGAATGACATATGTCTCGTCCTGAACTTTTACCTCCGGTGAACTACACTACAGCCAAATATTTTTTAAACATGAAAAATATTTTTAAAAGGAATTTTCTATACAATTGTTTTTGGGAAAAATCCATTTTAATTAAATATTTAAGTGCCTAAGTAGTTATTTTAAAAAATTGGGTGACTAAAATTTGTGGTGTAGTGGTATCGTCTTTGATTACAATTAAAAACGGCATGGGTTCGAGTCCTTATGGTTCGCTCCATTTTCTTTTTATTAAATTTATAGTTGAGAAATGATTTACAATTTTTTAAAAATTATTTTTAGTTTTTAACAATAGCAATTTTGGACAAAAGGACAGAAAACGGTTTTTTCTGTTTTAAATCTTCACATTTTCCTTTTATAATTGATTCTTCTTGTTTATTAAATCATTACAACGACAACGAAATTAAAAAAGTAAAGTTTTGGTGTTGTTTAAGAAGAATGCCGATTGAGGGATGTTATTGGAAAATTATTGGAATTTTAAATAAAAATAAAAAGAAGTTAGTTCCATATATTGAAGAAGAAAAAGAAAAGGAAGAAAAAATTAGAAAGGAAGAGGAGAAGAGGAAAGAAGAGGAGAAACGGAAGGAAGAAGAAAAATTGAAGGAACAACAAAAAATTAGACAGAATGCCAAAGAAAAACAAAAAAAGAATGAAAATGGAATTTTTGAAGGATTTGTTTGTGGACAAATAAATAATGAATATTTGGTTTATTTGCCTGAAGAAAAAGAATTTGGACATTTACCGATGAGAGGAAAAATGGATAAATTGTTGGGAATGTGGATACAATTACAATTGTTTGAAAATTTTTAAATTAAATTAAAAAAAATTTTTTTAGACGTTTAATTAACGGAAAAAGAATGATAGAAAAATTTTCTGTGATAGAACCAAGAATGTTGTTAATTGTGTCTCAGGAAAATCGTGTTATGGTTAGTTTTTTTAAATTTTTTTCGGTCTCAATCAATTAGGAAAGACATTTTCGACCCAAAATCAGAGTAAAAAAATAATTTCTTTATTACCGTAAATATCCTAATAGAAGCTCTGGATTTGTATTTTTCAATACCCCTAATTGAGTGGGCTTCTATTAGGATATTTACGGTAATTTTTCTCCCCATTGGAATTTTGTAATTCTGAAAATTATCAGTCATTTTTGATTTTTAAGCACTTATTTTGTCAAACTAGTGGGACTTTACTTTTTTTTAATAATTTTTTTAAAATTATATATTCCCTTAACCTGGGCCCCAGCCTTTCTATTTTTTTCTATTTCTAAATTTTTATTTTTTTAAACAGTTCAAAGCAAAAATAGAAGTTCCTCTCTTACAAAATACTTCATCTTTGCCTTTTTGTCGATCACTTGGAATTTATGTTAAAGATAATTATAATTTATTGCAAGCAAAACATTGTGGACGTTTTATCAACACAACAATTGGGTGTTTGGTACAACCATTGGAAAATGAGGAAAATTTAGTTCAGTTTGAAATTTTGCATATTTTGGAACGTTAGAAGAATTTTGAAAGTTATTTTTTTATTTTCTTAATTTATTGAATTTTTAAAAATTAATTTTATAAGAATTTTTTGAAATTTATCATAAATATAATTTTTTGAATATAAATCTCTGACCGGATAATTTAATTTAAGAATTTAATTTTCGTATACAGTCGGACCTCCTTATGTATATCAGGGGTCTTCCACCAAAAATGGCAAAGGACAAAAAGCGGAAGATATGCTAGTTTCTTAAATTGGAAGTATCGCTTGGGCTTTTATCCCCCCTCCTATTACCCAAACCAAACCTAAATTAACGTACAATTACCGCGTTGGGTGTATTTACAAAATGAGAGGTTAGACTGTATATATTAATTATAAAAATTTAAAAATATAAAATTGACTAGAAATCAATCATTTTGTACGGGGAAAGTATTCCTTTTGGATCAAATAATTTTTTAATTGATGAACTTATATCTCTAATCTTTGGGTTAACTAAATTGTGGTGAAAGGTTCTCTTTACGTGTCCAATTCCATGCTCTGCTGATATACTGCCGCCTTTTGAATAGACCCATTCATAGACAAATGGATATAATCTGGAAATTGAAAAAATGATTAATTTTTTTTCAAAATTTTTGTAAAAAATAAAAAATTTTCAGAGAATTTTTTTGAAAAATTTTTCAACCTCCAACCATTCTCCCTTATTTTTAGGGACTTCACTTTCCTATGTGAGTCAATTTACAAATTTCCCTCCAGTTGTTTTGTTGGTGTAATGGTTGGTGTGTTTGATTCAGATATTTTTCGCCGTGGGTTCGATCCCCTATAGGCTTTTCTATTTTTATCTCACTCAATATTACTTAAATTTTATTTTAAAAAATTCCCCTGACCCATACCCAAAAAATTTTCAAAAAAATTCCTTACAAATCATAAATTTTTTGATCATATTCAGGAATAGAAACATTTATATGTACATTTCCATCACCAATATGTCCAAACGAAATTATTCTTTTTGCTTTTCCATTTAATTGTTTTCTAACTGCTTCGGGTAATTCATAAAAATATTTTAGAGGAAGAGAAAAGTCGTGTTTAAATACATAACCATCTTTTCTGATTGCCTAGAAAATTGAAGAAAAAAAATTTATTAGAAGAAAAGGTTTGGAGAGTTAAGGGATACTTACGAGTCTAACTAAAACCCCCAAAAACACCCAATTAAAAAACCCCAAAAAAACAAAACTCGAGACTGAATCGAGCTAGATTTCTAACTAAAATCTTGGTTAAAGATTTTTTTTTCTAGAAAAATCGATTACACTTCTTGTACAATTCTCCCACAGTCTTTTATTAACCAACCTTCCTAAAAATGTAAATAGAAAAACTAAAAGATTATTTGACATTTATGACAAAAAAATAAGATTTTTAATTAGGAATCTATCAAGAAATTTATTAAACCTAACCAAAGGACAACTTTCTCTAATTTTCCATAATTGGTCTGCTTCAGAAGCATTTTTAGCCAAAACACCGTCTTCAGCCAATCCACTTTCCAAAATTTTAGTTAAAAATTTATCCATTTTGGACGAATCATGTTCCTCATTTGAACCTAAAAAATTTAAATTTAAAGAAAATTTGTTTGAAAAAACCTGAAGTTTCAATTAAAAGAAAAAAATTAGACAAAATACTCAAAGGGCAATCCAACCCAGCATTTTCTTTAACCATTTTCATTGATTCTCCATCAATAAATTCAAAAGAAGAAATTATTTCGTTAAGCATTTGTTTGCCTAGTTTGAGTATTTGTTGACATTTTTCGAAGGAATTGACACCTTAAAAATAAATTTAAAAAAATAAATTAAGCATAAATTCTTTAAGGACATTTTCAGGGACCCTTTCCAAATAATCAAGAGTGGGCATGGTTTCTCGCAACTAAATTTGTTGCGATAGAAAATTTTTTTGACAGTTTTGGAAAGTCAAGAAGTAAAAACCCTCTCCTAAATGAGGCAACAGGAAGTGAACACAATTAGGAATGAGTTGGCCTTGAACACCTTCCCGACCCTAAGAAAAATCTAAACCAAGCGACTAAATCAAACCATAATTTAAAAAGATAACCTTAAAATTCTCCATAAAAAATTATTAATTTAAAAATAAACCTATCATCGCAGAATGTACAGACAACGGCCTCGGCACAACTTGCATAAACACTTTAGTAATCACTCCAAGTTGCCCCTTTTCATTAAAATTCCAAAATTCATTCCAAAATTTTTTTAATTTATTGAGACCTCTGATCCTATGAACAATTTATGTAAATGTAAATCGGCATTGTCTTTACGTAGAGGTGAGCCTAAACGAAGAATTTGACCTTGTTCATTTGGCAATACCTTAAAAATAAAGAAAATGTTAGATTTATTATTTACGGGCTAAAAATGTTCAAAATGCTTCAATAAAACTGTCAATCTTTTGACTTTAACATGTTTACAAGACATATCGAACTGTATGTGAAAATTTGTATTTTTTGCACCATCGTGTAAGCAGGGTCGATAACCTATCGGCCATTTTTCTTTTTTTTTTGGCCCTGACCCCCATTTCGAATAGAATAATTGAGAGTATGGCTGGACCTCTACAGAATGTAGGGCTGGGTTTTAGCAAAAAAAAGGTCGTGGCTAGACGGGGTCGAACCCTAATTGGGATTTTTCAAGTTAATTTCATACCACTTCAAGTCCAGTAACATTTGCATGCATAGATCCATATCTAATTAATCTAATCCCTCCAGCATTTGTAGCAACAACACCGCCAATTAAACAACTTCCTTTTGCCCCTAAATCAACAGGCACCATATACCCTTCTTTGGCTATTCGATTATCCACTTCTTCGAGTACAAAACCAGAATCACATTCCAAAATACCTTAAAATAATTTTTTATTAAAAATGAGTAAATTAATTTCTGAGGAAGTATCATCGAATTTTTATATTAAAATAGTCCGCAATTTATAAAATTTGAACACGAACAGGGATATCAGAGAAAAAAGTTGGGTTGGTATCTAATCGGAAAATTGTTCGGCTTTTGGATAACCCTTGACATCGCGACTTGAATTTAGTTCTATTTATTTTTGGCATTTTATGCTAGCTAGAAAATTATCTCTATTTCTAAAAATTTATAAAATCGTAGAAAAGATTTTTAAAAAATCCGAAAAAATAAAAATGTCCGCAAAAAGCTCTTCTGTAATTTTTAAATAAAAACCTGAAGTCGAATCCAATTCAAAATTTTTAGTAAATTTTTTCATTGATAAAATTATTTCATCATGCATCTAAATTTATAAAAATTACTCAAAAAATCTTTAAAAAACTAACCGGAATTGACCCCCCAACCAATCCAGTATTTCCAGATTGGGGCACTACAGCAAGCTTTCTTTTATAACAATGAAAAAGAATTGAGGATATTTGTTGGGTATTTTCTGGTAAAAGAACACATGAAGAATTGCCTTTATACCAATGCATAAAATCAAAATTGAAACTGAAAAGAATTTTAAGAATTTTTAGATTTTTAAATCTCTTTGGGGCTAAAAAGTCATGTTTTCTGACAAAAGTTAGAATGCGAAATACTTTAGGCAGCCAAACAGACAAATCAATTACCTAATTTTGTGGGTATTTAAAATTGGGGGTGGACTATTTATTAGGTAAAAATTTAATCAATTTAAAATTCAAATTTAATTCAGCAACCCCTCCTTAAAAATAGAACCGCAAAAATGTATCTTACATTATGAGTGTTAGCCTAATTATAATTTAAAAACAAAAATCGTACTTCTTACTTATTTTTAGGAAGATGGAAAAATGAGGAAAAATAAAAATTAGAAAAAATTTAAAAAACTTTACCAAAAAAACTACTTACTCATCAATTTCATTAGTTTTTACATTATTTTCCCCCAACAAATTTTGAAAAATAAAAATATCATCTTTTGTTAATTTAGAAAAATCTTGCCTTCTTTCTGGAATTTTAATTGAAGTAGATATTGTTCTAATTAATTTTTGATGTAAATTATTTTGTTGTTTTAGTAGAAGAATAATTGATTTTGAAAACATTTAAAAATAAATAAAATTGGGTAATTAATCTAAAAAATAAATTTTATTTTCGTTATCAGTAAAGGGAAAAATATTTTTTGATAAAAAGGTTGTTATTAAAAAAGAAAGGGGAAAAATCGATTTAGCTAACAAATTAACTAAAACGATAGTTAAGAAAAAAATTTTTTGACAAAAAATAATTGGGTGGGGGCTAACTCAAGGAACAGACAACTCGGTAATCATGTAGAATTGGGGATACACTTTTAAAATCCTTAAAAATCATTATTTTTTTCTGAAAATCATTTTATATAGGTAATCGACTATGCTGATCACGAATCTGATATCAGATTTTGTCATATATGACATTTTATCTATGATTTTTTATTATATACTTAATTTGGGGGCGCTTTAGTATATGCCCAGTTTTTTCAGCGAAGATTCCGTTGGTCATAACGTTGTTCAGAATCATTCAATCGAGCTGATTTTGGTGTCATTCGACTCAGCTCGTCGAACCCTTTCGAATGAGCCAAATCCGACTTGGTCGAAATCGTGTCCGGGGTTCGAACTATACAAAATCTGATATCAGATTCGTGATCAGCATAGTCGATTACCTATATAAAATGATTTTCAGAAAAAAATAATGATTTTTAAGGATTTTAAAAGTGTATCCCCAATTCTACATGATTACCGACAACTCAAGGAAAAGACAAGTCAAGGAATATTTTAAAAATCAGAATTTTTTGGAAAATTTGAACATTTAAAAAAACTTAAAAACAAAGAATACTTTAAAAAAATTAAAAAACAAAACTAAAGAATTCTGACTTTTAAAATATTCCATGATTTGGTCGTTCCTTGATTTGTCTGTTCCTTGAGTTAGCCCGCACAAAATCATAAATAATTTCACCGACTAAAAAAGAAAAAAATTTTTTTGGAAAATTCCAAATAATTCCTAAAAAAATTCAAAATAAAAATACATGGTTCTTTAATCCATATTTAAAGAAAAAAAGGAAAATCTTTAAAAAATAATAATTTTAATAAAGCAAAAAATTCTTTAAAACAATTTTTAACAAAAAAAAAAAATTATCTAATTTTTAATTAAAAGTAAATTTAGAATTTATTTTTAATTTTCTAAATCCTTCCCTTTCATTTTTGTCTTTCTCTCTAAAAAGTCTATCCATTCCATTCAATTAATGTCCTGCTCCCCCTCCCCCAGCAGCCTTCAAAACTTCATTAGCTACTTCAATTTCAATACCAGCCTCCGCTTTTTGAACATCTGTGGCTGTTGAGTCTAACGATTTTTTATTTGCCTCGTCTATTAATTGCTTTGCCACCTTAAAAAATATTTTTTGAAGTTTTTCGAGAATAAAAAAAGTGGGAATGTTTCGAGATAATCTCATAACTAAAAATTTGACAAAGTGATTGAATCTTAATCATCATTCCGCAGACGAAAAAATTTTAGAAGGCCGTAGGCCAAAAAATTCAGTTTTTTGCCCGATCCCTTCCCCAAATTTTTCCCCATTTCGGGGGGGGGGGGCTTCCCAGACAATCAATTAACTGTCCAAAAATAAAACAGGAAGATGGGGTCGTCTTTCTATAAGTAAACAATAATCTAGTTGGTTACTTATTCTTAAAAATTTAAATGTGTCTAAATTTTTAGTTATTTACATTGCTATCAAGTTCATCCAAAGAAGCGCATTCTTCCACAAGAATTTGACAAGAACCATCAATATTCATAGAAAGAGAACCTGACGAAACAAAAAATTTGGAAACTTTTCCATCCTCCTCATAAACAGACAAAACGCCAGGCTTTAGCATTGCAATAGTTGGGACGTGGACAGGCAGAATTCCCTAAAGATTAAATAAGATAGATTTTAATCTAAATAAAAGCTTACCATGTTACTCGCCATCCCGGGGACGTCAATTTGTTTAACTGTAGTGTTTGAATAGATTGCCTGAAATTTTCAAAAATTAAAAATGGGAGAGAATGAGAAGTAAAACTAACATTAAATAGAGAACTAAGTTTTGGCCGTTATAAACAACCTGTATAAAATGGCACTATTCTATTTGCCTGCCTTAACTAAATAAAAGTGAAATCAAGATCCCCAAAACTAACAATTCGAAAATCAAAAGCTCAGGCATTAAATTTAGAAAATAAATCTCGATTTAATTCACAAAAAAAACATTAAAGTAAAGCAAACCTTAACCGGGGACGCAAGCGTAAGTTTAAGCTCTTTAGGTCCTCCATGTTCTGCTGGACTGGCAGCTGCAGCTGGAGCAGCATATCCACGCCCAAAAGAAGTGTAGACAGTTGGAAGTCGTTGAAATACACGAATAAATGAAGACATTTTGATTAAAATTCTAAAAATTTCGTTAATAATTCCAAATAGCCAAAATCTGGATTTGATTTAAAAGAGAGAGTAGATAAAAAAGAGAGGAAAAGTAAAAAGAAGCAGAGAAAAAGAGAGATAATTAGAAGAAGAGAAAATAATCAAGAGTAAATGTCTTTAATAAACACTTTGCCAATTTAAATATTAAAATAAGCTTTAAAAAATTTGTTGGCTTCATTTTTCACAAATCATTTGCTTAACCTTTGAGAAGCTTGTATTTAGTCTAGAAAATTTAAGAATAATTTTCATTTAGTGTAAATTGGAAGCGAGTTTCAAATTTTTTCTTTCACAATTTTCCCATAGTTTTATTTTTTTGGGTGCATTTTCTTTAACCGCTTTACTTTTTATTAATTTGTATTTTAGTTCAAAGCTATATTTATTTTTAACAATCTAACGTTAATAAAATGCGCGAGATCGTCCATATTCAGGCCGGACAGTGCGGCAATCAAATCGGATCCAAGGTTTTCATTCAAATCCTTCAGGACTCCATTCAAGGCAATCCCGGAGAATTGGGGTCCCTGCGAAAAAAAAGTTTAAAAATAAGAAAAAGGATTTTTCTAGGGTAAAAAAATATGCTGATTACGAATCCGAGTTCAGATTTCGGAAAAGTCGAATCCCGAACCCGAATTCGGACTTTTGATCCCGAACAGGACTTTTGACCCCGAACATTATCAGACATTGTACAAAATGGCCAGTCTTTCAATAGAATCATAGAACTCATTGAGCTGCATCGAATGACACCAAAATCAATGAAATCCGACCGGATTGAACCGAGATACAGACCCCTAAATATTGTAAACCACATTGGTGATTTTTTGGAGTAAAAAAAAGTTTTTACAAATGATAGCTCATTCGAAAGAGCTCGTCGAGCTGAATCGAATGACACCAAAATTACAGTGATTGATCAAGTTTTGACAAAGTTATGACATAAGTCGCCGACTCCTACAGTACTTCCATAAGTATACTTTATGTCATAACTTTGTTTAAACAGGTTCAATCACGTTGATTTTGGTGTCAATCGATTCAGCTCGACGAGCTCTTTCGAACGAGCTATCATTCGCATATTCGAAATTCGGGTTCAGGGTTCGAAATTTGGTTCGGGTTCGGGATTCGACTTTTCCAAAATCTGAGCTCGGATTCGTAATCAGCATATTTTTTTACCATAGAAAAATCCTTTTTCTTATTTTTAAACTTTTTTTTCGCAGGGACCCCAATTCTCCGGGATTGCCCCATTCAATATTTAAATTTTTAGTTTTGGGAGGTTATCTCTGATGAACACGGCATCCAACCTGATGGCTCGTACAAAGGCGACTCTCCTCTTCAATTGGAAAGGATGGATGTCTACTACAACGAAGCTTATGGTTTTTTTAGAGATTTTAATGTTTACATTATACTTTCTAATTTTTAGGCGGAAAGTATGTCCCGAGAGCTATTCTTGTTGACTTGGAGCCGGGGACTATGGATTCTATTAAGGCTGGCCCTTATGGTCGTCTCTTCCGACCTGACAACTTTGTGTTTGGCCAAAGCGGTGCTGGTAACAACTGGGCGAAAGGACATTATACGGAGGGAGCTGAGTTGGTGGACAATGTTTTGGATGTTGTTAGGAAGGAAGCTGAGGGATGTGATTGTCTTCAAGGATTCCAACTGACTCACTCGCTTGGCGGTGGAACTGGGTCTGGAATGGGGACTTTGTTGATTGCAAAGATTCGAGAGGAGTATCCTGATCGTATAATGTCTTCTTTCTCTATTGTTCCGTCGCCTAAGGTTTTTTTTTAACTTTGTAGCCCTTTCATTTTTTTATTCTTCAGGTCTCTGATACGGTTGTGGAGCCTTACAACGCAACTCTCTCGGTTCATCAACTTGTTGAGAACACCGACGAGACGTACTGCATTGACAACGAAGCTCTCTACGACATTTGCTTCCGGACTTTGAAACTTCAAAATCCAACTTATGGAGACTTGAATCATCTCGGTTAATTTATAATTTACATTTTTAAAGCAATCTTTCTCATTTAGTGTCTATAACCATGTCTGGAGTGACAACTTGTCTTCGCTTTCCAGGCCAATTGAATGCTGACCTTCGCAAGCTGGCTGTTAACATGGTTCCATTCCCGCGTCTCCATTTCTTCATGCCTGGTTTTGCGCCACTTTCGGCTAAGGGCGCTTCTGCCTACCACGCCCAAAATGTTTCTGAGTTGACTATGCAAATGTTTGACGCTAAGAACATGATGGCTGCTTGCGACCCACGACATGGACGTTATTTGACTGTTGCCGCCATCTTCCGTGGGCGCATGTCAATGCGTGAAGTGGATGACCAGATGATGTCTGTTCAGAACAAAAATTCTTCTTACTTCGTCGAGTGGATTCCAAACAACGTCAAAACCGCTGTTTGTGACATTCCTCCGCGTGGTCTCAAGATGTCTGCAACATTTATTGCCAATTCCACCGCCATTCAAGAATTATTCAAGCGCGTCTCTGAGCAATTCACTGGTATATTTATGCTTTAATTTGGGATTTTTGAAGAAGATTTTGTTGGGTGACAAATTAATTTTCCGGTCTCCTTAGAAAATAATCCTGCGCATCAAAGTAGGCTTTTATGAACTCCGCTTTAATTTTTTGGGGCTAAAAGACAATTAAAGTCATTTCATTCCTGAGCCAGTCAATAACCTTTCTATTTTAGCCATGTTCCGTCGTAAAGCATTTCTTCACTGGTACACTGGCGAAGGTATGGATGAAATGGAATTTACGGAAGCGGAATCGAACATGAATGACTTAATCTCTGAATATCAACAATATCAGGATGCTACCGTCGATGAAGAGGCTGAATATGACGAAGTTACTGGGACTGTTGAGCAGGAGGAATGACTTCAGATATATAAATGATAAATAAGATCTCGTTAACTGTATTTGAGAGACATTTAGGGACTCAATTATTGCCGCTTTGCATATCTAGATAACAAAAAACTAACTAGCTTGTCCCTGAATGTCTCTATTTTTGACTTTTTTGATGATGATCTTTGTTTGTTTCGTTCTATTAAATATTTAAGAAAATGAGTATTTATAAATTTTCGAGCTTTTTAGTGTTTTTGCTTTGTTTGGAGCTTTTTTTAGTACTTTACAAACCTTTATTTGAGATTGTCATCCGGCGTAAAGGATTAAAAATTACTAGTATTCTGTACGTCCTGGTGGTCACGAACTACATTTTAACAAACATTTAAGTTACCCTAGAAAAATTTTCATCACCCTTGTTGATAAAAGATCTCTCAATCTTATACATAATCATTTAAGCCTCACCAAAAGGCAAAGCAATTCCAAAATTTATCCAAGCTGCCACTTTTACGAGGGCAGGATACAATTAGTACCTCAAACTTGGGTAATTAAACCGAAGACTACATCAAAAGCAAAATATACAAATAAAAAACAATGATAAATTTTAGACGCTGCATAAAATAAAAGAAATTTTGAAGAAAAGAGTGCAAGAACATAAAATATTTATACACTCCCTTAAACATTTTCATTTCTCTGCTTTAATGTGTTCTCTTTTGTTCTCTTTCAAAGAGCGAAAAAATGCCCTAGCACTGAAAAATAACGATATCTCTACACAGCAAAGACGGACAAAATGGTCAGAAAGGGAAAATATTTAAAATTGTCACAAAGAGTGGCAGTGTTACAATTTTTCTCAGAAAAATTTAATTTTTTTTTTTAATTTTTTTTCTAGAATTTTTTAAAAATTTTATTTACAAAAAATATTATTCAAATAATTTAACATTCTTATCATTTAATCAATTTTATCAATTTTTTAAAAATTTATTTTCCTCCACACCCATTATTATTCTTTTCAATAACAGCAATTCTAACAGTCAACAATTGACTAACAATTAACATATCTGCAGAATAATCATCTCTTTCTCCAGCCAAATCTGTATTTAACAATTCTGTTGCATAATTTGCATTTTTAAATTCATTATTATTTTTATTTAATTCTTTAAATATACCGTATTATCTCTAATACAAGCCCTGGGCGTTTATTTTTCAATACCCCTCATTGACTGGGCTTCTAATAGGGCATGGGCTTCTATTAGGGCATGGGCGTTTATTTTTCAATATCGAAATTTTATAAAGATAAAAATAAAAGCAACAGAATTTTTCCCTCAAACTAGTAGCGAGGAAATCCCTTATAATCACGCAAATCACTTTTAATGAACTCCTGAATAATCAGATTAAGCTCTCTATCCATCTTTATTAAATCCATTTTTGTAAATATCCGTTTAATTCCAAAATATTCCTCAATATCCCCCTTGCTCTTAAATCCATTTTACAACTTAACCTTCCATATCCCTATTATCCTTTCATTTTAACAGTATCGCACTCTAATCTTCCAATGCTATTCTTCTAGTACACTAACTCTCCTTCTTAAGTGTCTAAATTTCTTAATCTCTCATAATCCTTCTATATCCTCAATAGAAAAATATGGAAGGATTATGAATACCTCTATCGATCGAGGGATCCCTCGATAGATATTGAACTATTATTTGACTATCAACGAATTAATAGGAATAATATTGAACTATTATTCCTATTAATTCGTTAATAGCCAATGATATCCACTCAATCATACAATAAGCTCTATACACAATTCCTTAGATACCTTCTTAAACCCGTATTTATCTCTAAACCCCCAATAATTTCTCCAAATTCTCTTAATTCACATTAAACTCATTTCAAATTCACTTTAAACTGATTCAAATCTCCCGATATTCAATTCAAATCCCTCTGTACTCATTTTCGTAGACTGGAATTTTGTTATAAATACCTTTAGTTAACTATAACACGGGTAATAGAAAAACAGGAAGTCAAAAATTAGATGGGCTTCTATTAGGGCATGGGCTTCTATTGGGGCATGGGCCTTTATTCTTCAATACCCCCTATTGAGTGGGCTTCTAATAGGGCATGGGCTTCTATTGGAGATGGGCTTCTATTAGAGACAATACGGTATTTATTTCCCCATTTTCAACACACAAAGGAATTGCACAAAATTGTCTGGCTAGTTATAAGTAGTCTCTAGTTATAAGTAGTATTTTGTTTTTCCTTGTCTGTATTGTGTTAGCTATTTCTTATGCTTTAACAAAAGATTATATGTATAAAGATTGATTGTACAAATTAATTGCAAAAATATGTTATTTTTATTCAACAAGAAGATTCATTAAATAGAAGGAAAGAAAAAATAATTTGCAAAAAAAGCTTTTAACAACCACAATCTTGAAAGAGATTTTAAGCTCTGCCAAAAGGCAAAGCAATTCCAAAATTTGTCCAAGTCGCCACTTTGAAAGGGCCGATTACAATTTATACCTCAAACTTGGGTAATTAAACCGACGAATGCTGCAAAAGCAAAATATACAAGCAAAAAACAATGATAAATTTTAGACGCTGCATAAAATAAAAGAAATTTTGAAGAAAAGATTGGAAGAACACCAAATATTTATACACTCCCTTAAACATTTTCATTTCTCTGCTTTAATGGGTTCTCTTTAGTTTTCTTTCATAAAGCGAAAAAATGCCCACACGCTGAAAAATAACGAAATCTCTACACTGCAAAGACGGACAAAATGGTCAGAAAGGGAAAATATTTAAAATTGTCACAATTCTCGAGCTAATGTATTTTTAAGAATTAGGGATAATGCTTATTGTTGCATAATTATATTTTTAAACTAATTATTCGGCCCTTTTTAGCCAATTTTTTTTTGTTTCGGCTGTAAAAAAGACTGAAGAGATTCTTAGTATTGATAACACCGATGTTGAAGACCACTGAGATTATTATTAATTCATTATGAGTGCACTAAAACCTGGGTCCTAAATACCAATACTATATTCAAACGTACAAATCAAGGATATCTCGAGTCGAAAAAAGATCTGTCTCGGGTCGTGCCACTCAAAAATTCAATCACGAAGCCAGATTTTTCGGAGATCTGGTGATTAATAAGAGTGATTCTTGGGGAATTACAGGGATTAATGTGAAGTTGGATGGATCGGGTTTTCGAAAATTTCTCGGATCAGGTTTCCGGTCGAGAAAAAGTCTGGATTTCAGGTATCGTATTTCGAGTAACCCGACACATCCATTGGCAAATACATCGCTTGCCGTGTCCGAAGCAAGTAATTAACCACAATCCAAATCAGACAATTAAGCCCCGTCCTAAGGACGGAGGCAATTCCAAAATTTTAGCTTCGCCACTTATTAAGGGCAGAGGTATTTAGTACCTTAAGCTTTGGGTAAATAACCAAAGAAGGCGTCAAAGGAAAAATATACAAACAAAAAACAATAATAAATTTTAGATGATGCATAAAATAAAGGAAATTTTACAGAAAAGAGTGATAGAACACCAAATATTTATACACTCCCTTAAACATTTTCATTTCTCTGCCTTAATGGGTACCCTTTAGTTCCCTTTCAAAAAGCGAAAAAATGCCATAGCGCTGAAAAATAACACGATCTCTACACTGTACAGACGGACAAAATGGTCAGAAAGGGAAAATATTTAAAATCGTCGAACAGATTTCAAAATGAATTACAGTATCCTAACTAAATTTTATTTAAATGCCATTGTTGCCAACTAAGTAGGTTTAGCAATGTCGTGCCAGTTTTTAAGAATCTTTTTAGCAATAATTCTCTAAGTTTTCATTTCACCTGTTTAGATTTATTTTTCATTTTCTCCCATAACTACATTTTTAACCAACAAACAACAAAACCAGTCCCCCTTCCCTCTCCCTCTCTTAATGACGCCCCAAATTCTTCGAGTAGTTGGCGTTATTCTCTGTTGTTGTCTCAAATACACACATTCTCTCTTTTTTCCTTCCCACAAATACCTTTCCTCCTCTCCGTTTGTATTTGTATGCTCGCAGCTGTGCTCATTTCGCAAACACGCTTTCGCTGTCGGGGAAAATAGTGGTGAATGTATTAGATAGTAGATGTGTATGTGGAGTTTGGTGAACAAAGCCAAAAATAAAGGAGGAAAATGAAGACTGCCCCGCAGAGCTACACATAACAACCAACACACTCTTTTTAATACTTTTATACTACATATAATGTCTCTCTAACTATTTAATCTCTTCTCTTTTTCTCTCTCTCTCTTCCTCTCATTTCTTTTCTCTCTATCATTCGAGTAGTGTCATTAAGTCTCGTTTTGAAATAAAAGTTAAAACAAAAATTAATAACAAAAACTCTTGCCCGCTCCTCTGATCAAAAGTCTCGATTCTTTTTACTCCTCTCCTCCCTCCCTTTCCTCTTCCCTTCCTCCTCTTCTCATTTTTTTCCTTCAGCTCGGTTAATGTTTTGGTGGCGTGGCGGTTGCTGTCATACTTCTCCACACTCCTCTCCACACTAAACACTTAAATTTTCTCTTATCGGATTGTTTTATTATATTGATGGCTCCTTCTAGTCAATAATACAATCACGTTTTCTAAATCATTTGAACACATTTTTTGCTGTTTTTAACTAAAACCTTCAAAAAATTATTATTTCCACACCATTTCTTATCATTTCTTTAAATATTTCGATACCAATACATTTTAGAGTCTGGTGAGTCGTAGGGGAAGTCTTTTATCTTTTTATCATTTCAAAACCTTTTAAGATGACCTTTTGTGTTATTTTCATCTTTAAATTCTTCTTATCCTTAATTTACCAAATATCACGTCTTGACACCATTTAAAGAGAATCATTGAAGAAACCACCTCCCACAAACTTCAGACTCTAATAGACACTTGCTCCTAGCGATAGGAACGGGCCCATTTCCCGGTTTTTTTGAAGCAACCGGGAAGAAATCAGGAGCGGGAATTCCCGGTTTTCCCCGTCCGAATCCATCCCGGTCAACTTTCAGAACCCGGTTCCCGGACCCGGTTTTTTCAAAATTCCGATCTTTACTTGCTCCACAGGTGTTCTATTTTTGCTTGCCTCACAAAAATTTCCTCAAAAAATATTTTTAAAATTATTTTTTCTTCCTAAAAGATTTTTAAAAAATTCCCCAAAAATGTTACAACAACCAAATATTTTCCTTCCTGAAACAATTCAACAACAGCTACAACAACAACAACAAAGACAATCACCCCCAATATTACAGACAATTCGTCGACAACAACACCACCCCCAAGTAAAAACCCAACAATTACCTAATGGAGATTCTAGAGTTATCCGGTCTGAAGTTTGGAATTGTTTTGACTTGGATGGGTTAAATGCTGTTTGTCGGGCTTGTAATGAACGGTTAAAAGTTGGGCCGACTAGACAAACGTGAGGAAATTTTTTGTTTTTTCGTAAGAAAAGAGAATAGCTCGCTTATTTTATGAGAATAGGGCGTCCTTTTAGGGAAAGTAAGCTCATTTTGATAGTGGTAGTTTAACGGCTACTGTGTCACTGGCGGTTCTTAGAGGTTCGCCGGCTATTGCGAACCAAATGTTGAACCGAGACTTTTTAGTTTTCCGATTTTTTCGGTTTGGAATCTCCAAAACTTAACGATTATTCTTTTCTAAACTTTATAAGAACCCAATTTTTCGGTGAATTGTCTTTGATCATACACTTGGTAAATTTTTATAGAACAAGTTCAGAAAAGTTTTTTTGATTTGTATGCCTTTCTCCCAATAATTTAAAGTGGAACAAATTTGATAGTGGGCTGTATTGCACTTTTCCGTGAATTGTCCCCGGTCATTTATTTTTGTTCCCTTATCATTCAATTTTTTTGAATAGCCTTGAAGGGTTAATATATTCGCAAGAAAATATTCTTTTTTTCAGTTCCTCTCTTTGGCGTCACTTAAAACGTCACAGTCGAGAAGTCCAGGACAGACTAGTAAAGTCTTGGGCCGAAGCAGGCCTTCCCAGTAGAAGTGCAGATAGAATGGTTGCCAGAATACAGAATGGGGGGACACCCACAAATTTAATTGAACAACGAAAAAGAGAATTACAACAACAACAATATTCCTCCCCTTCATTTAATTCTTCTAATACAACAACTAATTTTACTTCCTCCTCCTCTACTTGTATCCAAAATGATACTGCAGGTCCTCTAGTTACTGTAGATTGCAGACCTGGACAGGCAAAATCTTTATACTTTTTGGATTTTTAAAATCTGATAGACAAAATAGAGACTGAGATATCTGACAAGATACCTGAAGAATCTCGGTTCTGATGTCCGGGATCATTGAATGAGTTCTTGTCTCGATCCGATCTCTCCCTAAAGAAGTTTCTTTTCCATAACAATCTCTAAATTACTCAATTGCTTGAATTGATACTAATATCACTAGGAAGAAGTTATTACGGCATACTCAGTCAATATTATACTATAATTAAAAAGGATATCGAGAGATTATAGGGAATTTGGAGGTGAAGGGTTTGGGAGATTAAGGGGGATATCGAAGGACTGAAATCTGTGAGTTGTACCTAGGGGCTAGATTCATTAAAAAATTTTTTCTTTACTGTAACTATAAAAAATAATTTTTTCTCTTTAGAGTTTGGATTTGGAACAATTATTAGGACTTCAACAAAATTCAAATGACGGGGCAGCAATAAATGAGGGAGAAATTTCCCCGTCCAATAAAATCATTGAAGGGTTGGATAATAATGAAATTGATGAAATGGATTTTGAGGTTGAAGAGGAAGAAGAGCCAATTAAAGCTGCAAAAAGTGAGAGAGTTCAAGAGAATTTTGAAAGAGCTGTTGTTGAATTTTTGTTGGTTAGTTTTTAATGTCTTGGACATTTTATAATATTTGGCGTAACCTGACGTTTTGTCCTTTTCTTTAGATGGGGCATTTTGTCGTTTTTCAGAAAATGGGGCATTTTGTCTTTATAGATTGCTGGTTTGTGTGGTTGCCGATTTTTTCCCCTAATAATCCTGTCAAAAAATTTGATTTTTTACTTTTTTGTAGTGGATTTAATTCTCTATCCATCGATACCAAGAACATTAAAAACTATCCATCTCCTTTTGAGTTATTCAGCCGGGAAACAGTTGAACTGCTCCGTGCCACTTTAACACTTAAATATTTTCTTTCCATCAACAGGAAAATGCTCTCTCATTCACCAAAGTGCTTTTGCAGTCTCCAGCATTTGGAGAAGTTCTACGTCTTTTCTCTTCTTCCCCAACATTTTCAACAAATTTATTTCGCCCAATTATTCCTTCACCAGAACCTCTATTAACTCGACTTGTTCCAAAAATGTTTATAGAAACTTTGGATGAAAGAAAAGCACTTTTTGAAGAAGATTTTTTTGTTTTAGTTTTGAGAAGAACAAAAATTGAAAATGCTCCAAAAGGAAATACTTGTATTTTAAGGTAGATTTTGATAAGAGGGGGGTTTGTGTCTAACTGGTTAGACAAAGTCTCTTCATTTTTCTTAAGGAACAAGAACTATTTCTCTCTTACATTTTTTAAATTTTTAAAGTCCCTATTCCCAGTTCTTTCTTTTGTTATTTTCTTTTAGTTATTTCTAACTGGATATTTTTTCATTAAAAATAAAATTTACAGAATTTCTGCTGTCAAGTTAAGCGAAAGTTTTGGCCTTTGTTCTCGTTGTTTGGGTGTTTTTGCCTATCGAGGAGGTCTTCGTCGGTTAAGAGATGCTCTTAGAAAGTGTTTTGAAGAAGGGAGTGTACAATTAAAATTATGGCAAGTTTCTGCAGTTGTTCATGATGGATCGTCTGAATTTGAAGAACTTTGTGAACAATTGGATATTCCTGGGCAAGTTTATTTAATTTAACGGCTAAAACTTTAATTGTCATGTTCGTTGGTTTTATGGCTTAGTTGGTTAATGCCCTAACTTTGACATAAACAGTTGTGGGTTCGAATCCTTTCGACTTCATTTACTTGGATAGATTAGTTAAAATTATTTTTTAAATATTTTTTTATAATTTTAGAATTCTCTCAGCTCCTTTAATGCTTAGAAGTATATTTACTGAATTGGATAAATTACAGTTTTCTCCGGGATGTGTACGTCGAGTAAAGAACAGATTTGAACAAACAATAGGAAATGTAAGTTTAAAAGAAAAATCTTCCTTTTTTTCTTGGAGTTTTATTTGGGATTGTGATCAATTATGTAGTTCCCATGCAAGATTAGATCTCTAACTCCTACACAGTTATTTTGGACTCTGTAGATTAAATTTATCAAACTAGAATAGAGCCTAACTACCCTAGTTATTTCTCCTTCAGCTAATGCAAAAGAACAAAGGCTGCTGTGAACGAACTACGTTTTCAGTTGACTAGACATGTTCCTGTCGCGTCACGCCACCTCCTACTTAGCCTAAGGCTTTACCAGGGATCGCGCCGGCCCGATTCACGACTCCCGAAAATTGTGAAAAATTGTATGTTTTTTGGCTCGTGAATTCGCGATTCACGAATGTCGGCGCGATCCCTGGTCTTTACACAAGACTGGGACTAAACTTCGCTATCCTTTCCTTTCACAAAAATTTACAAAAATTCTTTTTTTAAGGCATTGGATGGATTACATTTTTCAGCATTTTCAATAACAGTTCCAATACTAATAGAAAGAACAAATAATTTTTGTAATTTAAATGTTGACCAAGAAGAAAAAACAAAAGAATTTTTGGAAGAACAGCGTTTAATCGAAAAATTTAAAATTCTTTGGAATTTTCAAAGAGAAAAACTTTTGAAAGAAAAAACAGCAAAAATGTCAATATTTTTAAATCCAAATAATTGCCATAATTTAATTAAAGGGGGGCCTTTTAATTTTGAAGAATGGAAAAAAGTGGAGACTTTAATTATTGAGGAAATATGTCAAGCTTGTTTGCCTTTAAAAAATAATAATGAAGGAGGGAATGGAAATAATTTGAATGAAAAATGTGGTGGTGAAAATGAGGAGGGGGAATTTAAACAAAGAATTGAAATTGAGGTAGTTTTTTTGAAAGGGGATTCTTAAAGAAATATTAAAAGAAAAATTGAAAAACTGGCATAAAGTTGGGCTTTAGAATAGCCATTAACGTTGACTTGACTCGGAAACGAGCAATTTAAAAATTACAAAGTAGGGTGTCTGTTTCTTGGAAAATCTTTAGATATCCGTAAATAAATTGAAGAATCGAACCGATCGGTTTTGAACTAACAACACCCTACCAAAAAGGAATTTAAATATTTTGGACAATTAAAGAAATATTGGGAACAGTAACTTTGCCTTTTAGAGTTTTTAAGATTATTGGCAACATTAGAGTGTTTTGGGGTAATGGTGAAGAATTGGGGACTTGTTTTGGGTTGTCCATTTATCATATTTCTAATAGAATTATTGTTCCAATGGAATGGCATGTTCTATTTAAATGGTATATTAGAGAAGTTAAATACCGGACATCTCGAACAAAAATCTAAGTTATTGAGATTGATAGACGATGACATTTTTAATCTTTTCGGGACTTTTCGTGATATCAGTATCGTAATGCAGAATCGATACGAGATTCCCCGGCCGCTTTCTAGATTATTTTAAAATTGATATAGTTATCTCAAAGTTAAAAAATTATTTTTTACAGGCAGAAGTAAATAGTTATGTGGAAGCATCATTAAATGAATTACGCAAAAATAACGAAGTAGATAATCAACAACAACAACAACAACAACACCAATCATTAAGTGAATTATTATTGTGGTGGAGAACAAATATAGAAAGATTTCCACGTGTCGGGCATTTAGCCAGACAATTTTGTGCAATCCCTTTGTGTGTCGAAAATGGGGAAATAAATATATTTAAAGAATTAAATAAAAATAATAATGAATTTAAAAATGCAAATTATGCAACAGAATTATTAAATACAGATTTGGCTGGAGAAAGAGATGATTATTCTGCAGATATGTTAATTGTTAGTCAATTGTTGACTGTTAGAATTGCTGTTATTGAAAAGAATAATAATGGGTGTGGAGGAAAATAAAATTGAAAAAAATTGATAAAATGATAAGAATGTTAAATTATTTATTTGAATAATATTTTTTGTAAATAAAATTTTTTAAAAATTAAAAAAAAAATTTTTTTAAACCTTTCTTTAAAAAATTGGAAGACTGTCACTCCTTGTGACGAATTTAAATATTTCCCCTTTCTGACCATTTTGACCGTCTGTAGAATGTAGAGATTTTGTTATTTTTCAGCGTGTGGGCATTTTTTCGCTCTTTGAGAGAAAACTAAAGAGAACCCATTAAAGCAGAGAAATGAAAATGTTTAAGTGAGTGTATAAATATTTTATGTTCTTACTCTCTTTTCTTTAAAATATCTTTTATTTTATGCAGCGTCTGAAATTTATCATTGTTTTTTGCCTGTATATTCTGCTTTTGTGTAAGTCGTCGGTTTAATTACCCAAGTTTGAGGTACTAATTGTATCATGCCCTTGTAAAGGTGGCAGCTTGGATAAATTTTGGAATTGCTTTGCCTTTTGGCGAGGCTTAAAGAATCAGAACGTTTTTCCTGGTAAATGTTGTGTGGCTATATTGGGGTGTGTTGGTTTGATTACAGATATTGGAAATCGTATTTTGTCTGAGAGACCCCAGGACAAGCGATTAATTGGCAATAATTAAAGAATTAGTTTCTAACAATGTTAAGGTTTCTAGCAATTAACCCCTACAAGCGATTAATTGGTAGCAAAGATCAAAGAATTAAAGTTTCAAAGATAGTCAATGTTGGTGGTCTACCAGAAAAGTCACGGCTCCCGGACAATCCGTCAGTGGACAATCCGTCAGTGGTCGGACAATCCGTCAGTGGACAATCCGGCAGCGAACAAATTCGTGATTCTTACCTCTACCCGACCTACCGCGTGAAATTTTTTGATGGATTTAGAAGGATTCGGGGATTTGGATGGATTAGATTACATAATTAACGTGTAGAATTATATTGGATTCGGATGAATATCGTGGGATTATGGGAAGTCCTCAAATACGAGAGGTTGTTTTTAGCAGACTGGTGCATGGATACGGATTTTGCTATCCGTATCCGGATATATCCGTGGGGTCAATATCCGTATCCGTTTGTATCCGTCCAACTTTTGAGTCATATCCATCCGCGGATATCCGCGGATATATCCGTTTTTTCTCAAAATGGTCAGCCTAGCTAAAATTTTCAAAATGGTCAAATTTATTTTAATTCGAGTAATGGTTAGATAATGCTGTAATAACTACATGCAGCAAAACGAACCTTGCTTATGAACATCGGAGGTTCGAAAATCTGCTGGCAGAGATCGGAATTCTGATCCAACTCAGGGATCATACCGAGAAAAAAATAAAATTTTGAAAATTTTTTAGAATTTTTGAAAATTTAAATTCCCGATTTCGGGCCGAAATGAAAATCTCGGTTAACTGACCAGTTGATTTCAGCGCCGCAGGCGAAAATTTTGAGAATTTTGGAAGAACATGAAGCAAAAAATCTTTCATTTTTAGCGCCGCAGGCGAAAATTTTGATAATATTAGAAGGCCATAGGCCAAAAAATTCACTTTTTTGCCATATCTCCTCATCAAATTTATCCCTATTCCCCATTTCGAGAGGGAATGGGGAACTCCCCCTCCCTCCCTCCCTCTCTGGTTATGAGCCTGGTATAGGTTTTCGGACCTCAAAATTCTGAAATTTTTGTTTGCTCAGCTAAAAGTTAATTTTTTTGGCTTATGGCCTTCTAAAATTCTCAAAATTTTCGCCTGCGGCGCTGGAAAAGGATGAAATCTGGTTTCTTGGCTTTTCAAAATTCTAAAATTTTTTGCACTGAGCAGGGCTCCACGAGCCCTCGGGTTCGTGATCGTTGATACAGGATTTGCCGGTCAGGGCATGCCGTGTTCCGGGGTCGTGGTTGACTGTTGTCGGGGTTTGGGGTCACGTGCGAGACTCAATTATCTTCTGCCATTGCGAATATAATTATTTTCTCTTGGCAAAATGTATTTTTAAAATTTAATCAGTGATGTTTAATCGCAGAAATTAGGGAAAAATAGGGACGGATATCCGCGGATTTGGAGCATCATATCCGTATCCATCCGTATCCGTCCGATTTTTAAAAAAAACACTATCCATATCCGTCCGTATCCGCGGATACCCGCGGATATCCGGATATTATCCGTATCCGTGCACCAGTCTGGTTTTTAGATGGATATCATGGAACAACCTCCAAATCTTCTTAATCCGACTATATCCCTTGATATCCCACTTAATCCACAAAATCCCAATTAATCCCCAATTTCCTCGATAAACACCATGATACTCCAAATCTATTGTATTTCCATTAGTTCCACGATATCCTTTGAAATCCCCGATATCTCCCAAATCCACTGATCTTTTAATCCAGCCAAATTTGCCGATTTCCTCATTAATATCCAAATTTTCGATATCTCTTATAATCTCCACACGAAAAAATGAAAATTTTTGGCCGCGGTATGTCGGGTAGAGGTAAGAATCACGAATTTGTTCGCTGACGGATTGTCCACTGACGGATTGTCCGACCACTGACGGATTGTCCACTGACGGATTGTCCGGTCACGAAAGTCACAGCAATAAAGAGTTTTCTTAATTCAATTTAATTCAACAAGTCAACCCTATCAAAATTCTTTTAAACGTTTTTTGAAATAGGAATACTGGAAAGTGATGAACAATTAAATTAATGATTCTGGTAACTAAAAATAAGGACAAGACGTTAACTTTTTGAATTCTTTGAGGTTTTGGAGATGAAGACGATGGATTATTTAAAGTATTTTCAACATTTCCATCAAAAATGTTGAATGATTATTCAGGAATGAAAACTCGATGGTCGTGACAATTTTAAATATTTTCCCTTTCTGACCATTTTGTCCGTCTTTGCAGAGTAGAGATCTCGTTATTTTTTAGTGCTTGGGCATTTTTTCGCTTTTTGAAAGAGAACAAAAGAGAACCCATTAAAAAAGAGAAGCGAAAATGTTTAAGAGAGTGTATAAATATTTGGTGTTCTTACACTCTTTTCTCTAAAATTTCCTTTATTTTATGCAGCGTCTAAAATTTATCATTGTTTTTTGTTTGTATGTTTTGCTTTTGATGCAGATGTCGGTTTAATTACCCAAGTTTGAGGTACTAATTGTATCCTGCCCTTTAAAAGGTGGCAGCTTGGATAAATTTTGGAATTGCCTTGCCTTTTGGTGAGGCTTAAATTGGTTTTTGGTTGGTGATAGTATGGAGTGTTAAGTCCTTTTCAGAATAATCTGTAAGCAAAAGTTTTATACAATGAGGAAAATTTGTCTTTCTTTCTCAAACCTTTCCTATTTTTTCTTTCCTTTTTACTTTGATCAATTTTTTCTTTTTGGATAAAAATAAAATTATTTTTAAAGAAAAAGAGAGATGAGTGTTTTTATTGTTACTGTTCAAACAAATATTTTATTTATATTTTCTGTGTCCAGTCAACCATCACGGCTACTCCTCTAGTATAAGAAAAATAAATTCTCCTTTACTCTAAAAATATAAAGGAAAAGAGAAAAATTGTCCGAAAAACGTGCGCATTACTTGGCCATTTTTATTGATGAAACTTCTAAAAATTAAATGATTTTTAATACATCTAATAATGACTTGGCTGCCTTAGAATTTGAAGAAGAAAATTTTTGTTTATCTATTCAATCACAATTTGAAGACAATGAACAGGTAAACAAGTAAAAAATCCTTAAAAAATTTTCTAAGAATTTCCAAACAATTCTTTGGTGGACAAATGCTGTTTGTTTACCCATAATTGCTGTAATTGGACTTTTTTGTAATGGATTAAATATTTTAGTTTTGGTTAGTACTGAATTGGCGAGAAGGATGCCCTCTTGGTATATAGATAATTTTTTTAGTTTTTAAGTTGATCTTTTGGGTCTGGGTATTTTTAAAGCAAGTTTTCCTTCGGTCAATACATATGTAGATTTCTATTATTTTGAGGGAAATTTTTCAAGATGGTCAATTGTTTTTAATATTTTGAGTTAGTTCATTTGCTTGTTCTTGTTTTAAAAACCTTCCTCTCTAGGGTTGGGATTTTCGAGTCGTGCCGACGTTCGAGTCATTTTTATCGGGCCGACCCGACCGAGTCTTTTTCGGGCCAAAATTCGATGCCCTATTCAATCTTTCGGACCGGGCCCCTCACCCTATTCATCACCCCTTCAGTCCCAAAAAATATCTTTTTTTAATTCTTTCAATATTTTCTCCCCTCAGGCATTTTTTGTTAGCCTTGGCTTTATTCGACTCTGCTTTTTTAATTTTCGCTGTTCTAGAGCTTTCTTTACCAATACCTTTAGATGGCCAACATTTACTAATTTCTGTACATACTCGTTTTGTTTTGTTTATTAGAATGTTTGCTTCTGCTTTTTATAAGGCTTCAATTTTGTAAATTAAAAAATATTTTTTTAAAATAATTTCCCTTTTAAAAAAAGAATTGTTGTCGCTTTTAATGTTGAACGTTATTTGTATGTTTGTAGACCCCTTTGGGTTTATAGAAGTGGAATTTTGGAAAAAAGAGCTGGTTGTGTTGTTGTTATGGCTTTGGTTATTGGATTACTGTAAGGGGTTAAAGGGGGTTTTTAAATGGGGACTTTCAAACCGGGAACTGGGAATGCCCAAATTGGAATTAGAGCCCGGACCTACGGCCGGTGCGGAATTCTGGGCTTAATTTGGGATATCTGAAAGCTTTGGAAAGGGAGGGGTAAAAAAAGAAGAAAGAGGAATTCTAATTATTTTTAGATGTAGTGTTCAATGGCCATTAGCGTGGCGTGTTGTTGAATTAGAATGTAACGAGCCTTGTGAAAAAGAGGAAATTGAAAATAATTGTTTTAATGTCAACAAAACAAAAATATTAAAATATTCATTAGTTGTAATTAAAGAATCTTTGATATTACAGGTAAATTAATTTTTGTTTCTATTTATTTAAGTGAATTTATTCGTTATTTCTACAGTTGTATCTCAATCTTTTAAATTTTTGCTTAATATATAAAAATTCAAATTTGTAATTATTTAAGTATATCCATGTTGCCCATGTTTGATTCGGTTAAATTATATTTGTTAGGTTCAATTTTTGGAGCGGGGGGTTATGTACAGACCCCCTTAAATGGTTTAGATCTGCCTTAGTCGTAGAAAAGTATTTTCTTACTATACTATACAAAATTTAGAAAAATCCCGCAATTCCGCGCGAGATTTCGGAAATTCAAAATTCGGGGTTATTCCCGCGGGAGTTACTCCCGCATGTGTGATATGGACATTTATACGATATGGATATTAATTTCCTAAATATGGATATACTCGATTTTGGTAGTACTTCATCTCAAGTATCCTTATAAAATTGAGATCCGACCAAAATTATAATTCTTCATTTTTCAAGAAATATTATCGTTTAATGGATTGGTTTTCACTTTTTATATTTAATTTATTTCCAATTTTATTACTTGCCTATTTAAACATTCAATTAATGCAAACTCTGAGGCACATTGTTAGAAGAGATTCTTCTGTTTCTGCAAACTTTTTACAACAAAATTGTGAAGAAAATAATGAACAAATTGTTTGAAAAAATAAAAAAATTAAAAAATATTTTAATTTAAAGAGAGTTTTGCCTGTAGAAATTAAGGAAGAAAATCAACAAAATAATTGTAATAATTCAAATGCTAATGCAATGCTTTTTGCTGTTGTTCTACTTTTGTTTGTTTGTATAGGGCCACAAGCTGCTGCCAGATTACTTTATGAATGGCATGGAATTTATCATTTAAATTCTGTTTTGTATACTTGCATTACACAGCAGGTAAAATTGAAAAGAAAGAAGGGGGGATTGGTGGAGAAGTTAATGTTTGGGTAAAACTAGAGTGTGGCACTGGACGGGATTCTTTAGAAATTTACAGGATCCTGTTTTGAAAATCCGAATTTAAAGTGACTTAAGAAAAGATCATTCTGATTAGATTTAATCAACGTGATTTTATAATTGTTAAACACCCAACATAAAAACTTATTACAATTTAAGCCTCACAGAAAGCAAGGCAATTCCAAAATTTTTCCAAGTCGCCACTCGAAAGGGCAGGTTACAATTTGTACCTCAAACTTGGGTAATTAAACCGAATACAGCAGCAAAAGCAAAACTTACAAACAAAAAACATAGATAAATTTCAGACGCTGCATAAATAAAAGAAAATTAGAAGAAAAGAGAACAAGAACATTAAATATTTATACACTCCCTCAAACATTTTCATTTCTCTGCTTTAATGGGTTCCCTTTAGTTTTCTTTCAAAAAGCGAAAAAATGCCCAAGCGCTGAAAAATAACGAGATCTCTACACTGCACAGACGGACAAAATGGTCAGAAAGGGAAAATATTTAAAATTGTCACTACTAAGAATAAATTATTTTGGATTTGAGTTTTTAGTATTTTGAAAGATTATTTACCTCTTTTTAGCCTGATAGGTTTTTTGTTTGTGAGAAAGGATTGGTTTTTTTCTTTGGCGTTGATTACACCAATGAAAATTGTAGAACCGATACTAGGTTTAATGTTATGAATACATTAAAGCAGTTACCAGTGCCTCGTTGTGAAGTTGATGTTTTGATCAGAGTCGCACAAGTTTCTATCATGAGAGAAATCCACGGAGTATAGAAAATACGTGAATCGTACTCAGTGAAGTATGAAGAGCTCATCTTTATAAGACGATGGATTGACCATGAAGAATTGATCTTCGTTAGCCTATTCCTTTAGGACTTATACGCACCAGTGTATTCCCAATCGCTTTTCTAAGGATATGTTAGTGGCGATGTTAGTAACTCTGGGAATTGTGTTTTTAGAATGATCCCGGCCTTACAATAAGATGAAATCTGGCTAAAACGACATGGCGCGCATCCCTTGTGAACTGGCTTAGCTTTAAAGAGGTTAAGTGTTATTTAACTTGTAGATGTGGTTTATGCGTCTAGGGAGAGTGACGTTTTCGTGTGATGTAAAACATTAATTATCTTCACCTCCAATTTTAAGCCCTCCCAAAAGGCAAGGCAATTCCAAAATTTATCCAAGCTGCCACCTTTAGAAGGGCAGGATACATTTAGTACCTTAAACTTGGGTAATTAAACCAAAGACTGCAGCAAAAGCAAAATATACAAGCAAAAAAGAAAGATAAATTTTAGACGCTGCATAAAATAAAAAAAATTTTAAAGAAAAGAGTGTAAGAACACCAAATATTTATACACTTCTTTTGCAAATTTTCATTTCTCTGCTTTAATGGGTTCTCTTTAGTTTTCTTTCAAAAAGCGAAAAAATGCCCCACGCTGAAAAATAACGAGATCTCTACACTGCACAGACGGACAAAATGGTCAGAAAGGGAAAATATTTAAAATTGTCACTACTCTATAATAAATTATTTTGAATTTGGTTTTCCTATTTTTTGTAAGCTTATTTACTTTTTTTAGCCTGATAGGTTTTTTCTTTTGGATATCAAAAAGATTGATGAGTTTTCTTTGGTGTTGAACACACCAATCAAAATTGTCGAACCGATACTAGTAGGTTTAATGTTATTAAGCGGTTAGTCCCGTTCCCAGTGCCTCATGTGGAGTTGATGTTTTGAGCAGAGTCTCTATCACAGAGTCAGCAGAGTCTCTATCACTACTCTATCACCCAATCGCTTTCCTAAGAATATGTTAGTAACGATGTTAAGCTTAGATATGTAATGGGTGGCTAATAACTCTGGAAATGGTGTTTTTAGGATAATCTCGGCCTTAAATAAGTTGAAATCTGGCCAAACGCCATGGCGCACATCCCTGGTGAATTGGCTTAACTTTTAAAAGTTTAGGTGTTATTTAACTTGTAGATGTGCTTTATGCGTCTGGGGAGAATGACGTTTTCATGTGACGTCAAACTTTATAAAACTGCTTTTAAGCCTTTAACGACATTTAAGCCTCACCAGAAGGCAAGGCAATTCCAAAATTTATCCAAGCTGCCACCTTACAAGGGCAGGATACAATTAGTACCTTAAACTTGGGTAATTAAACCAAAGACTGCAGCAAAAGCAAAATATACAAACAAAAAACAATGATAAATTTCAGACGCTGCATAAAATAAAAGAAATTTAAAAGAAAAGAGCGTAAGAACATAAAATATTTATACACTCTCTTACATATTTTCGTTTCTCTGCTTTAATGGGTTCTCGTTAGTTTTCTTTCAAAGAGCGAAAAAATGCCCAAGCACTGAAAAATAATGAGATCTCTACACTGCACAGACGGACAAAATGGTAGAAAGGGAAAATATTTAAAATCGTCGAAACAAATACACATGATTGTTTTACTGTCATCGTTTCATTTTTATCCCAGAATCTCGGTGGGGTCCCGGTAAATTTGAAAACTGGATTTACGGTATTTTGAAACAAATCCCATTACTGGATCCTTTGTGGCACTCTAGTTTTTTAGTTTTCTTTTAAAGAGTTAGTTAAAATGTTCATAAAGTAGTCAAAAAAAAGTACCTAGGGGGTCTGAAATTTTGTTGGAACATCTTTAATAGCAGTAAATATCAAATGTAAAAATTTCAGAATTTTTATTTAAATATTTCTAAAGATCCAATCAAAAAAACTGCGAAAATTGACATTATTCAAAAATTGTGACACCAGACTTCTGGAATAAAAAATTATTTTAAAAGCATTTTAATTCCTTTCAAGCCAATCCCCCCCCCCCCTACCTTAAAGGCTAAAACAATCTCTCCTAATCAAAACACGCCTACACACTTCCTATCATTCTAAAAAATTTCTTTTTTTAGTTAGTGTTTCTAAATGCTTCATTAAATTTTTGTCTTTATTGTTTGGTCTCTCGCCGTTATCGTTTAATGCTTAAAGAAACAATAAATCGTTTGCTTCATTGTAATTTTAAAATAATTATTAAAAGTGAAGGTCGTTGTTTACAAAAAACAAAAGATTCCAACGAAAATAATAAAAAATTTCAATTAATTTTACAAAATAATACAAATTCAAATAGTAATGATGAACAAATATCTTATCCTTTAATGCAAATGAATAAATTTAATAATTAAGAGTTAAAGGCGACATTTGATCTCTCCAAATGTTGGAATAAAGTTCACCCCTCATTTGAACTCGTTCCCTGTAGAACACACTTATAATACTTAAATACATTCAAATAAGACTTTTATTGCAAGCTTTTATAAGAAAAAATCAAAAATCAAGCCTATTTTATCCAAAGAAGGACATTGAAAACTCAAAAATAAATAGGAGAATGGGGCAATTCCCGGTTCTTACTCGGACCAGAGAAGGTTATATGTAGGGCTCGGATTTATATTTAAATAAATCACTGAAGCGGCCCTGCCCGCGAACTGACCACTGTCTCTCCAATTTTTTATCACATCTATCACTGGTCATTTCTGTCTCTCTTCTATTCGAACTAAACAGTCAGACACTGGTCAGTCAAGGCTTTTTCATGACCAAGGTCGTTTTTGTGCCCTATTTAAATATAAATCCGAGCCCTAGTTATATGCATTGCTTATGGATTTATTACAGATGCCCCTCCCTCGTGAAATATTCAAATTACTAATAATAATTAAGGTGAAGGGAGAGTAGATTGGTGTGTTGGCACCCGAATTCTTTATGAACCATATCCGCCTGAACGAATTATTGGAAATGTTGATAATAAATTAAAGGACAGCTTTCTAGTAGCGGAGTTATATTGTTCAAACAATAGAGGTTTGATTTGAGGATTTGCCATTCTTGGGGAGCTTGCTGAAAATGGTCTTATTGTTGAGGTCGAGGGAACAGCTGAGAAGATTGGCATAACAACTGTATTAGCTCCTAAAGGAAGAATGGAAGAATTTTTGGATCCTATTAAAGACAAACTCAATGTTATTTACATTTTAATATTTTAGAAGCGTTGTCATATTTAGATTATTATAAATTTATTTTTCTAGATTTTCTTTTTGTATTAATAAATGGACTGATTATACTTCTAAATATGACAACGCTAATACAGTTGTTATGCCAATTTGCTTTGCTGATGCAATCTTCTCAGCTGTTCCCTCGACCTCAACAATAAGACCATTTTCAGCAAGCTCCCCAAGAATTGCAAATCCTCAAATCAAACCTCTATTGTTTGAACAATATAACTCCGCTACTAGAAAGCTGTCCTTTAATTTATTATCAACATTTCCAATAATTCGCTCAGGCGGATATGGTTCATAAAGAATTCGGGTGCCAACACACAATTCCACTTTCCCTTCACCTTAATTATTATTAGTAATTTGAATATTTCACGAGGGAGGGGCATCTGTAATAAATCCACAAGCAATGCATATAACCTTCTTTGGTCCGAGTAAGAACCAGAAATTGCTCCATTCTCCTACTCATTTTTGCGTTTTCAATGTCCTTCCTTGAATAAGGCTCGATTTTTGATTTTCTTTTAAAAGTTTACACTAAAATTTTTATTTGAATGGATTTTAGATTTTCTATAGGGCATGAAAAACTTAATGATTTTTACTGAACGATTTCTGACTATATATGAAAAACGAGACAAGGGGAAACCAGAAAAAACAGAGACAGTTCTTCTATCGATTTAAGTTTTTCCCCAAAAAAATTCTCAAAAATTCTTTAAAAAAACCTTCTACAAAAAATTTAAAATCCAAAATTTCAATCCAAATCCAATAAAACAGTTGTTTGTGTTGTTGTTGTAGCTGCACCAGATATTTGTGTATTTCCATTTATAGATAAACTTCTTCCATTATTAATTGTTGTTGTTGGTGTTTCTGCTTCGTCAATTCTACTTTCTTTAACTGAACGAAGTGAAGAAGTTCTACTTCTGTGTGGAGATGTTGAATTTGTTCTTCGTCGAATATATTGATCAAATAAATTGTTTCTGTGTGGAGATACCCAAAATGTTGAAAATAGTGAAAGTAAAAATAATTCACAAATTATAGCAAAATTACAAATAACTGGAAAAAAGAAAAAAATTATTTTTAAATTAGTTTTATTAGGAAATTTAAAAAAAAAGAAAGTTTTTCCTACGAATTTAAGCCTTATTAATATGAATCCGTTTAACTATTTTTACACAAAAAATCTAGGTAAAAATTTATTTTGATCAATTTTCCACTTCTTTTTGGAAATTCACAAAATCCTGCTCAAACTCCATACAACCATTCTCTATGCCCAGTCTCCTGTTATGAAAACCCCTAAAAAGATTATCTTCAACTAAAATAATTTTTGTTATTTGAATAAATTTCCCTAAACTATTTTCTCAAATTAAAAAAAAACAAACATCTAGCATTTTCTTGTGGAGAAAGAACAACACCACAACGAATAACACCAAATCGAAGTAAAATGTTTTGAAAAATAAAAGGTTGTTGAGCAGTAAAAAGAAAAAGTCCCAAATCAACAACTCTGAAAATACCTCCAAAACCATAACAAGAAAGTTCTTCCTAAAAAAGAAAATAATAATAATAATTAATAGAAATATTTTAAAAGTTATACAGAAGTAAGTCGTGCCAATGTATGAACTCCAAAAATGGCAAGAAGTAAAGAAGCAAATGTAGCGAGATCAAAAAATTGGAGCCAACTTTAAATTAAATAAATTTTAGAAGATAATTTTTTAACTAAAAATTGTTAAAATGGTTTAGCTTTTTAAAAAATCCTTAACATAAAATTTTACTGTTTAAACAAAATGAAATATTAATTAGCCGTGAAAAGGTTCGAACCGTGGGTGCCCTCTCCTATTGAATAGGGGTCCACTTTTCTTGAATTTTGCAGCGGACGGCTATTGCAGATATCGCGATGCCGGAGCGGGCCAGTTGAGCCCCGCCGGTTGAGCGCCAGCCGACTTTGATCGGCTATAACTTTTTTGTGCTTGAATCACTCCTAATGATTATTATATCATTCGAAAGCCCTCGATAAGCGGTATCTTTTTTCCAATTGGATGGATCAAGTCTGATCACCGGTTAAAAAGTTACAAGTCGATAAGTGCAGGAAATCGTTGTTTTTCACACTTATCGACTTGTAACTTTTAACCGGTGATCAGACTTGATACATCCAGTTGGAAAAAAGATACCGCTTATCGAGGGCTTTCGAATGATATAAAACTTATTTGTATTGGATCAAGGCTTAAAAAGTTATAGCCGATCAAAGTTCTCTGGCGCTCAACTGGCGGGGCTCAACTGACCCCAACCGCGCGATGCGGTCTTCTGTAATGAGTTTGTGATCTAACAAAAATAGTGGTAATTAAGGGGAAATGATAAGAATGAGGAAGCTAATAACGAGCACGTAGAATAAAAGTCCTTAACATAATCTTCAAATAAAATATACATACTTGTAAGCATTCTCTCTAGCTTCAGCAACAACCACAACTTGTCCAAAAACAATAAAAACCCTAACTATAGGTGCTTGTAAAACTATCCATTCAAGTTTAGTTAAATTCACACTTAAAATAAAATTTTTAACCAAAAAAATAAACAAAAAAAACAAACATTGAAGGTCTAGCTTTAGGTAAACACCACAAAAAACAGCAAAAAGGAGGGCTTCTAAAGTCAATAACTTTTCCCTTTTCAGTCAAAGAATTGGATAAAGCAGCTCTTCCACCAGCCAAATGACGCATTAAGGAGACTAATACAAAGAGGCAAAGCAGAAAATAAAGAAGACCGAAAGATGAGACTAGCAAAGCTGTTCGGGGACAAAACATCCCAACCATACAACAACAGGAACAAACCTTAAATAAAAAATTTAGAAAGAAATTAGTGTGTGATTTAAAATAAATAAGGATGAAGAAGGATGAGCAGCTTAATCGGAAAAAATGGGAACCGATTTAAAAATTTAAATTACACCAAACAATCTTTTTTGAAAAATAAGTTCTTAAAGTGAAACTAACGAATAAATTATCGACCAATCTTCAAATGGCCTGTTTTTAAATTTTTGAGGTCCTTATGTTAAGTTATTGGCTGGCCTTTTAAAAACTTAACCAATGAGACTTAGTATCCCTAGAGAATGATTCTCGTGAAACATTTCTTATATAATCAAAATTCCTTAAGATTGCCGAATATTTCCCCCAAAAAAATATTATTGAAAATAACCGGAAATAGCGAAATTAGTAAATAAAGTTTATTTCTTCTTTGCTCTGACGACACATAATTGAAAATATACCACCAATGTATACTTGCCAAAAATAAAATAGCCAAAATTAAGCCACTTCCAACAGAAAGAAAAACAATTTGGAACCCTTCCAAATCTGTCAAAAAATTTAAATTTTTCAAAAAAAAATTAAAAATAAACTTGAAATAAATTCTCCAGCTGAAGGCGTGTCATTAAAATTTATTGAATGATTTTTACAAGATCCATCAATTTTTTGTGGAAGAATTAAAGTAACAATCCAATTAAATGCATGAGCAATAAATGTCCAAAAATTGGAAGAATCAGAAGTCATTTTTTGAATAAAAAAGAAATTCTGTAGAAGCAGATTCCTAAAATTATTTAAGAAATTTTTTTGTAAATTTAAAAAATGAGTCATTGAATTGATTTATACTAGGGTTGCTCCCCGACGAGGAGGGGCCAAAGGGAACAATTTTCGGTGAGGCAGCGCCACGGGGGAAGGAAGAGGCGGGGAAAATTTTCCCCAAATTCCCCGACCTTCGGGGACGGGGAACAACCCTAATTCATACTCACAGAATCATTAATATTAGATAAATAAATTGGGTCAATTCGACACCCATATGATACAAAATATAAATTACTATAAAATTTAAACAAAAATAACAAAATGGGAAATTTTCCATTAAAAATGTAAAAGAGATCAATTTTTTAATTCAAAATTTTTTTTCTTTTGATTTTCTTTCCAACACATAAAAATTGCATGATTCCTCTCAATTCTACGTTCCATTTCTTTTATTGCATCTTTATCATTCATTTGAGGTTTCCCAGGTGCAGGATTAATACAATATACCCAATCACAACAACAAAAAAATACTTGGTTCAGTTTCCTAGATTCCTCAATTTTCCCTTTCCACCATTCTGGGCCATAATCAATTGTTAATTCGTCACCTGGGATGATATCACGACTGTTTAAAAAATTTTTTTTAATTTCAAAAAATTTAGAAATTAATAACCTCGCAAAAAATCCCAAAGAAATTCTAGATTTGTCTCTATGATGACTATAATAACGAAAAGGATGCAAATTTTCAAAGCAAGAATGGTTAAGAAAACGTGTTATATTGCCATAAACGTGAGGATCAACATCTCAAAAATCTTTTTTATTAGAAAAAACAAATTTATAGGCAATTTGGATTGAAGAAAGGAAAAAGTCTGGCCATTTTGCAAAAATATAGGGGAAAACTTGGAGAGGAAAAAAGGACGTCTGTCCGGTTCAATATTACCCAGATTTTCAAGGAAAAAGTTTTCAAGGCTTGACAGTCCTTTATGTAGTCAGAAAAAAGGAGTAAAAATCCAAGAAAGCTTATAGCCCAATTTTAAAATAAATTTTCAAAAATTACAAATATTAGCAGATTTATTAATATCCAGAAGCGGCAAATCATAAGCATAATCAATCGGTCTGTGAGCCATACTATTATGATGAACAATTTCACCAACAAATTCTGCTATAAATGTACCTAAATGAAAATAATAAAATTAAATTTTTTAATTTATCAAAAGAAAACCTGCTTCAATCAACTGTCTAGAACGAACAGCCCACCCAGCCAAAGGCGTTTTAAAGACCTCAACCTCCAAATTAAACTTTTCAGGTGTTAAACGCCAATGACATTTTCCTTTGCAACCAAGACAAGTATTTTTATCACATTCATAAATTATGTTTTCATAAAAATTTGGCACTCCATTTGTGAGATCGATTTTATGGTCCTGAAATATTTTAGAGAAAAGTCGGAAATACGAGGAAATTAGAGCCCGAAATTTTTTATCTACTCATACACGGTACGGAATACCGAAAAAATAAATATAGTGCAGCACCGTCTGGCTATAAAGGAATTCAATAAAAACCTCAAACTACTCAAAAGAATCAGAATAAATTTTAGAGAGCGAGATTTTAAAAAAAATCCATGACCTTGATTTCGGTTGGGTACGTTGACCTGATTCTTGACCTTAAGTAGGAAAAATCAAGGAACTCTGAAAAATACCTTGATCTGGACTCTGGATCAAAGAAAAATCAGGATCTGGATCCAGGTCGCTCTCTAATAAATTTAATAGAAATGCTACCAATTTTTAGGTTGAGATTAAATAAATTACATAAATTCTCGCTGTACTGTTGTCTATACAAGCACAACTCCCAGGAAGGCACACATCAATACAATCACAACCACTCTAAAAAGTTAAAAAATAAAAGGATTTCCCACTTTAAAAAATTAACCAAATTTTTCTGCACAAAATCCTCTCTCTCAACATTTTCTGCCACATAAAGAAATCTTTCCTTAAAATTAGAGTTGTCGACAACATTCACCACGGGAATTTTACAGCTTGCACTCCCATTTGATAAATCCTCCTTTACAACTAAAAATGGTCTATCATTAAAGAAATACTAAAAATAAAGGAAACTAACTCATAAAAGTTGTATTTGAAGTAAATTTGATTAATATATAAGTTGTTTTTGATAAAATAAGTACCAAAAAATTAGTAGAAATTCCACTGAAAGATAAAAAATAAACGACCAATTCAGAAAATTATTAATTTGACCTAAATGAAATTTTGGCGTTTTGTTTATTGACTGCAGTTGATGTTTTGAAATATTTAAAACGATTTATTCATGATAATTTATTACAAAATATAAAATGTCAAATTGGTAAAAAAGAAAAATTTTCTAAAACCCGAAGAAATTTTTGATAGTTTTCTTGCTAACAATAAAATATCTTAAAATTTTTTTGTTTTACTTTATATTTTGTTATATCTTGTTTATAGTCTCATTTAAGGATTTTAAGCAATATTTATTACTGCCTTAATCTGCGTTAAAATGAGCAGAGTTTACATTGGCAATCTTTCTTCTCGTGCTGATGAACGTGATATTGAAGATTTCTTTAGAGGATTTGGACGAATTCGTGCTGTTATGCTTAAAAATGGCTTTGGTTTTGTGGTATATTATAATTTTATTTATGTCATTTTTAATCAAAATTTAGGATTTTGATGATTCTCGAGATGCTGAGGATGCTGTTTACGAACAAAACGGTCGTGAGCTTTGCGGAGAACGCGTTGTTGTTGAAATTTCTCGTCGAGAACGTAACTTTTTTGGCTTAAACTTTGTTATACTTACACATTTTAAGGTCCTGGTGAAAGTGGTGGTGATTATCATAGTAGTAGTGGTGGCGGAGGATACCGAGGTAGCGGAGGTGGATACCGTGGTGGCGGAGGATATCGTGGTGGCGGGGGCTATCGCGGAGGGGGTGGATATCGTGGTGGCGGCTACCGAGGTGGAGGAGCGTAAGTGGAATTAGTTTCTTTTCAATTGGTTTATCTGCTTCAATTTGATTTAGTTTACATCGTTTCAGCGCTCGCTATGGTCCACCTATCCAAACACGTTATCGGATGCTTGTGTACAATCTGTCTACTCGGTGCTCATGGCAGGTTCGAGATTACTTTTTTTAATTATGGCTTCTTTATCTGTAGCTTGTCCCAACTTGTTATTTTTACTTATTATATTTTAGCCCCGGGTTTTAAGAGCACAAAAACTCTGATTTTTTCAGTTAAAATCTCGGAAGATTAGGATGAGGAAAGAGATGTCAATATTGAGGTATCTGATGAGATGCGCAGTTTTTACCAATTTCCCGCTAAATTATTTCTGAGGGATCGCCCATCCCTCGTCTCTCACAGATGACAATAACTGAGGGTTTTCGCGCTTCACTCGGCTTCTAATTTTGACTTATGAAGTTGATAGTTAAGAAGAATGAATAGACGTCAAAGGTGAAGAGTGGCAATTTGAAAGTATTTTGTTTTAGTTTTGAGGGCGTTTGTTCTTCACCTTTGTTTTGAGTTAAGCCTTTAAACTACTGGGGGATTCACCTTCAAACCGCTGATCTGATCAGTAAGGCGGGCTGATAGACCAAAAGAGAATCAACCAGAATGTGCTCTCTTACCTCAAAATCTGGGGATGTTCAGATGAAAGAAGAGAGGGTGATGAGGGAACAATTTAGGCTGACAGAATAGATGACGGCACTTTGCTTGTCTCGGTCTGTTATTCATTTTTCTCTAAATTAATTCCCATCTGTGTTTTTCTTTTATATTGACAAATGGTTTTTGATGGAAAAAACATTTACAGCTAATTTTCAATTTTTTTAAATTTAGGACCTTAAAGATCTAATGAGAAATGCTGGTGAGGTGACATATGCAGATGCTCACAAAAAAACTCGAAATGAAGCGTATGTTTATTTGTTTAATCGTTCATTCAATTAACGTTTAGAGTCATATGTTTTGCTTCACATGAGGATCTTCGTCGTGCTCTCGATCGTTACCAAGGTTCGTTTGAGAGTAAAAGGGAAAACTCGTTTTTTAGACTCCATTCCCTTATACATGTAGCAATTTTATTGTAATATTTTTTCAGGTAAAGATATAAATGGTCGTCGTATAAAATTAGTCGACGATTCTGATGGCTATGGTGGAGGTGGTGGTGGGGGTGGTCGTCGTAGGTAACATTAAATTTTATTTTTCTATTTTAATCTTAAAATTCCAGTCGTTCTTGCTCACGTAGCCGTTCTGCTTATCGTTCACGTAGCCGCTCTCCACCTTCTCGATCGGCTTCTCCAGGTTGATTTATTTTTTAAACTCGAAACTTAACATATTTTTTAAATATTTAGCTGAAAATGGACGTTCTCGATCACGCACTCGTTCACGTAGTCGTTCTCTTTCAAGTGCGTCAAAGAAGAGTGGCTCTCCACGAATGTAAAACAATGACACACAGTTTTTAAATGAATTGAGTTAAAAATTCTTTTGCTGCATTCAAATATTTTGTAAAAGAGACAAAGTATTTGAAAACTTATCTTTTTCTTCTATTTTTAAAATTAAATTTTTTTCCTTTTTCTTTGAACATTAAGTTTTTAAATACTTTTTTCATTTACATATGCCTCTAATATTTGAATTTAGCATTCTTCCGTATTTTTCTGAAAGACTTGTTGTTTGGTATTTTTCATTTATTTGTTTCTTTTAAATTAAATTGAGCCGAGCATTTATTTTGTTTATCTTTTTGCTTTATTCGTTAGCTAACGATTGTATTTTTTCAAATTTAATTTTTGCGTTTATAAAATTTGCGGACAAATGTTTTGCGGATTAATTTTTGAGGACTTTCATTTTATCCTAAATTTGTAATTTATGGAATGTCAAAATTCGACGAAACAATTCATCAAAAGCAAATAAATCTTCAAGTTGGGCGAATAATTCAATTGGATGCAAAAATTCTTGACGATGCATTAATTTCTGCATTTCGGGTGGCCTTGAGAGACGGCTTAAGGGATGGAGAAATTTGTTTACCTTTCTCAAATTGGTTATTTGATTTTCTTGAAACGCACAAGGATTCTTTGCTTAAATTATCCTATCATCTGATGCATGCATTTACAGGTTTTTTAATGTATTTACTGGGGAGTTGAAATCGATCTTGTCATTTTCGTCTCCATCGCTCTCAATATTTAATGGGTATTACTAACTCACGAAATTAGAATATTTTTCGTTTCACACCCACAAAACTGTCCCATATTTAAATTTATTTTTATAATTTTAAATCATTAAGGACAAAGTCCGGGCCAACGTCTTATGAACATACGCTATGGTAATTTTACAAAACTCAAAGGATTGCTTAACTATACTTTCTGCATTTTATTACCAACAATCTCAAATTCCTTGTTCCGACTTTTGCCTTCATATCTTCGTCATAAAAGATTATTTATTAGAAGGATTATTGTTGGCTTCAAAATTTTTGATTTTTGCTACTTCCTTTATTTCCTCAAATTTGGTGGACCATCGCATCCAATAGAGGCGTTGCTTCGACTTAAACCTGTTCATGATAAAAGTCCAAGAATTGGTAAGACTATTTTTATACTAAAAATTCCTGGCAGACTTCCCTTAAGTAGAGAACCCCTTCTTGTACTCACCTAAAAAATGGCTAACAGTTGTTTGAATTACCAGAATTTTTCTTTAAGTGAACTTTCGGGAATTGCCTTTATGCTTGATATTTTTTTAAATTTATTTAAAAATTTATTTTCTTTTAGGTCAAATCAATTATGGAGCACTAAATCGCGAATTGTTTGGCCATTCATTCGCCTACGTTTTAATTTTGCTTATACCTCTTTGGACTCGAATATTCAATTTTTTAAAGACAACATTATTTAAAGAAGAGGATATTAAAAGTAATTTTGATGCCAAAGATCGGCTTGTCTGTTCAAAATGTTTAAAAACTCCAATTTGTGCTGTTAGAGCAAGAAAAAATAATTTATCTAGTCAATGGAGGGTTTATTGTTTCTTTTGTTTTACAAGCATTCAAGGAATTGAAAGGAAAGATTGGGAAGTTGAACAGCTAACTAGTGCTAATATCTGATCTCTGATGGAAAGAAAGTATTTTTTTAATTTTTATTTTCTTCTCCAATGTTGTTAATTCTGCTTGTATAATTCTTTTTATAATTTACGACGTATCGGGCTAACTCACGGATCAGACAATTGACGGAACGACAACTCTCGGAATGACCAAAACACGGAATATTTTAAAAATCGGAATTTTTTTTAAAAATCTGACTTATTGTTCCCGTACTTATAGTTCCATGACTTGTCTGTTCCGTGATTTGGAATTCCTCGAGTTTGCCCCCACACGATTTACAAATTTTTATTTTTATAATTTTATAGATTTTTATAAATTTTATAAATTCAAATTTATTTTTGTTTTTTATCTGTAATTATCCAAATTATTTTTATTTTTATCAGAAAATTTCATTTCCAATTTTTTATATTTTTAAATGGAAACACCTAGAAAAATTGCGCAAAATGTAAAAAGCAAAACTCGAAAAATGGATTCAAATGAAATTATGCAAAGACGTCAGAAGAGACTGGCTAGTGCAGAATCATCTAATAATTTGCCCAAAATTAACTTGAATCTTTCAAAAGAGGAAATGTGTATGTTTTTTTATGATTTTTTCAAATTTTTACAATTTGTTGATGCAAGGTCTGTTGTTAAACATAATATCTGTCTAGGTCCTGTGTTTGCGAATTCAAAAACTTGTATTAGTAGTAGAGGGAGATGTTGTTACACAGACAATTTTTCATATCAGTATTTGTGGTACAAGTATTGAGAAATTGTTCTTAGTAACTGTGGTACATCTACTAATACAAGTCTTTGAATTTGCAAACACAGGACAACAGACCTTGCGTATATGATTGGAAGTTTAAAACAAACTATTTCTTAGTTTCAATTACAGTTACAAATATTTTGAGTTCATTAATTTCGTGTTAAATTACTTTACTTTAGTAACTAAAAATTTTATTTTTAGTAACTAGACTTAAAAATTTGATTGGACTAACGTGTACCACAAATACTGAGAAATTCCACCTTTTACGCAGAAGAGATGAATTTCTTTCAAAGTTGGTCAATTTGGATTCCAAGCCAGGAAATAATAAATTTATCAAGGTTTTTGATTTTTCTGAAAAATTTCATCACTTCAATATTTTAGGGAACATGTCAGGATATGTGTCCAGAAAAAGAACGTTATATGCGAGACGTAAAGAAAAGTCTACATTTTTATGAATGTGATGCTGAAGGACGTATAGTTCACGAAAAAATGGTTAAGGATTATAGTCGATCGGCAGCTGATCAGGTTAACGCTTAAAATATTTGAGTACTCATGTCATTGGGTAGAAAGCTTACACCTCTCACAAAGGAATTGTTTTTCATTATCGTGAGGCCAGTTTTTAAAAATCAAAATTTTCTCATGTCAACAAGAGAACATTCTGAACTATATGTGAAAATTCCGATATTTTTTTGCACCAACGATTTCCTTTTGCTGGTTTTTTATTTTTTTGGCCCTACCCCCCAAATCGGAAAGTTATAGGAAATGACTTAAATTTTTCATTTTAGGATATGCCTTTACCACACGAACTTAGACCTCTAGAAGTTCTTCAAACAACAATGGATTATTTGATTTTTAACATTTCAAGTGAAATTCCGACAACAAAAAATGAATTAATACGTTGGTGTGACTTTTTATGGTCAAGAACTAGAGCTATTCGAAAAGTATTTTTTAATTTAAATTTTCTTTTAATTTTTCTCTTTAATCAGGATATAACTCAACAAATGCTGCAAAGTGAAATGGCTGTTGATTTGGTCGAAAAATGTGCCCGTTTACATATCTTTTCTGCTTTCAAATTGATTTCTTTGGGTACAGAACATGTAAACCAAGAAATAAATTCTGGTAAATTTTTCTTTCATAGGAAAAATCGGTGAACTGAAATTCGGTTTAAACTCAGTTCACGACCGTGAACTGAGTTTAAACCGAATTTGATTGGTTATAACTTTTTAATGACTGATCAGATTTGATCTATCCTATTAGAAAAGATATACAGGTTATTGAGGGCTTTCGAATGATATAAAATTTATTTGTATTGGATTAAGCATTAAAAAGTTAAAGCGGATCAAAGCTGGCTGACACTCAGTTGTCAGTTTGCAGTTACATAACGGAAAAGTACCGGAAAGTCTATAGAAATTTTTAACTGGGTTTTCTAGGAGTTTCCAATTTTTTTCTTTTTTGAGCTTTTTTTAGATTCTAATTAGGGTTGTTCACTACCGGTTAAAAACCGGTACCCTCGGTTTTCGGTTTTGACCGGTTTACGACCCCCGGTTTTCGGTTTCGGTTTTTGACTGACCCCCGGTTTTCGGTTAACCGAAACCGGTTTATGCTTGAACTTTTCATCAAGAATATCCAGTTCTTATTTTAATCAATTAAAATGTAACAAAGCTGCTGGGCTATAGCTATTTCTCGACTTTAACTAGTGCAAGAGGTTATTCGGCGGCTGATAGCGAACTAGTATTTTAAGTAGACCGGACTGATGTGTTATCTATTTCACCACCCCGCCATAGTCTTATGAATTAAATAGCTATATGCTTTACATTGTTTCCATTTAAATAGACTAAGTGAGATATCGAGTGATATCAGGTGATTAAGAAGGATATCAATGGATTAAGCGGGATTTGTGGATTAAGGGTTATCGTGGATATGGGTGATTCAGAATGATGATGGATTTTAAGATTCATCTCTTTTTGCGCCGCAGGGGAAAATTTTTTTAAATTTTAATCGACCTTAATCTAAAAATCTTCCTGTTTTTGCGCCGCAGGCGAAAATTTTGAGAATTTTGGAAGGCCAGAGGCGAAAAAATTCAGTTTTCGCCGCCGAAGTATAAAGGCCAATAAACAGATTAATATCTTTTTATCAGCACTGACAAAGCTTTTGAGAAGGTTTAAACTAAAAGTTAAAAACTTAAGCAGCAACTATTTTTTGAAAACATAATATCCCTTATAATACTATTTCTGGATTCGAACCAAACACTAAGACAAAAGCAAATCGAGGAGGCCCATCAACTTAACCAATCAACATACATACACATCCCGATATATGAGTAGAATTAAAGAAATTATATTTATCGAAAACAAAATTGATAAAAATATTTTGTCAAGATGTGTTCTGTGAATTAATGGCCGAAAAATTCCCAAAAAATTCCATCCTTAGGGGTGTATTTTATAAACCGAAAAACAGGTCGGATTAGGCCACCGGTTTTCGGTTTTCGCCGTTTTCGACCCCCGGTTTTCGGTTTCGGTTTATTGGCCAAAAACACCGGTTTTCGGTTTCGGTTCGGTTAACCGACCGTGAACAACCCTAATTCTAATGTTGAAAATGTATTTTTTTTATGACTCCTGTTCTTTTTATTTTTCACTTACAATAGTGAAATTTCTTTATTGACTGACTTAAATTCACGAAAAAATATTTTTTTCAATTACTGGGTTTGTTAAACTTTTTTTTAAAATTAATTTAGAAATGTCTTCTTTAAACGCCGCTAGTGATCATCCCGCTATGGCAATAGCAGCATATAACACATGTAGCCATACATTACGACAGATGTATGATGATTTGGCCAAAATGCAAAGATCTTGTCTTAATGAACCAGAATTTCGTTCTTATGATATTATTTTAAATTTGACTGATTTTAATGTTTACAGGTTTTTTTTTTAATTTTTAAAATCTATTTCAATTAATTTTTTCTTCTAGTCAAGTACTTTCTTATAGAAAATCTGTTAGGGAATCCAAAGAGGTCCAATTAGCTTTGAATTTGGCGAGTGCCCTTCAAAACAACAATTATATTTTATTTTTTCGTCTTGTTAAAAATCATGCCACATTTCTTCAGGTTTGGATTTGTATAGCACCTCTTGATCCTGGTAAAATAAGCTTAACATCTAGTGTCTTAAAATTTGAACGAATTCGGATTTTTGCCTTTACCGAAAATTGACTGCTATTTAAAACATTTATTCTTTGTCCTTAGAAAACCCTAACTTAAAATTTATGATTGGGTTAGACAACATTTTGAGGGTTATCTATTGAAAATTTTACTTTTAAAATGTTCGGTTCTTTGTCTTTTTGTCTGTTCTTATTTTTTCAGGCTTGTCTCTGTTACCAATTTTTTGCTTCAATACGTTCTTCTGGCCTAAAAGTTATTTGCATGGCCTTTAACTCGTTTCCTCTTGAGAAATTTATTGAGAGTTTGGCATTTGATTCTACAGAACAAGCTCTGTCATTTATGAAAGTTTTTGGTGTGGAATTGGACAGAGTAGATCCCAATTTAATCAATACTCGGGATGGAAAGAATATTTTTTTACAAAATACTGAAATGCCTAAACCAAATTTAATTCCACAAATGGGATGTAAATGGATTGAAGAAAAATCTATTCATTTAACAGTTCCTCAGGTTCTTTTAAAATTTTTTAAAGTTAATTTTTCTCCATTTTTTAAAGATTTTCTGTAATTGCCAAACACCTATTACTCCCCCAAAAACAACTCTTAGACACGTCAACAATTCTTTTTCAGCTTCAAATGTTTATGAAAATGATCCAATTCTTGACGCGGTGCTTCGAGAACACAAAGTTGCCGTTAATTCTGTTAATAAGAAAACACTTCCAATGAATTTTTCTTTTGCTCGGTATCTTTAATTTATTGCTTCTTAAACTCTCAAATTCACTCAACCTTTTTTTTCATTTTCCGGTTTTGCAAAAATTAAAAAAGGTTACAACCCAAGGTACCACAGAGCTATTACTTCGTGTTTGAATTCAGGAAAAAGCTATAAGAAAAGTTATAAAGGTAAAACTATAAACTAAAGCTTAAAGCTATAACAATGTTTGAATTCGGGATGCCTTGGCCTGTTGAGCTGAATCGAACTATACTAGGGCTCCCGGATTAGACAATTTTGAACGAAGTTATAGCTCTGTGGTACCAGGCTTGTGGTACCTTGGCCTGCTTCCTTTTAAAAAAATCTGCTCTGTTCTTTTTTAATTGTTAAACGTTAATTATTCGTCTTAATATTTTTCTAAATTAAAAAAAAATTTTCAGTGGAATTCAACCATTTAAAAGCTCAAAACAAAATTATCCTTTTTCTGCAATTCAAACTGATCATATTATTGCTAAAGTTTGTAACAGGCAATTAATTAAAATATCTCAATCTTCAATTGAAAATTATCGACAACTTAAACTGGCACAAATTGAAAGAAATTTATTTTCAATAAAATTGAGACGAGCTTTGAAACATTGGATAAATTTTACAAAAATTCGAAAATGTGAAAAATTAACAAAAAATTTGGTTATTAATATTGCCAATTCAACGCTTTCTTTTGTTGTTAATTCAAATTTGGAACATTTATCTGCAAGGATACTTAGGTATATATTTATTTTGTAAGAATTTAATTTTAAAATTTGTGTTGATCTCACTCCTAATTTATGAGATTGTACAAAAATTTTTGCCAAAAAATTCCCAAAACCGACAATAAATCGATAAATACTTTGGAGCGATTAATCGATCTGTACCAAAATTTTAATTATTTAAATTATGCAATATTATTTTATAATATTATTGGATGATTCATTAATTAACTGAAAAATTCAGTGTTAATAATGAGAGAGAAAAATGAGAGTGAATAGGAGTCTATATGCTAGATCAAAAATATCTGTTTGAATCAAAAATATCTGCTAGATCAAAAATATCTGCTTACTTTTTGAACCATTATTATATTAATTTACAATATACTTGAGCTTGTTAATTTATTTTTTTTAATTTAATTTTTTAGAGAAATCGTCGAACAGTCAAAAAATAGACTGGCAAACGAAATTGCTACAATTCAAGCAGATTTACTTTTAGAAAAAGTTTTGTCAGAACAACTTTCTTCTATTGTAACTCGTGTTAGAGCAAGTCAAGTTCGTGATATTGAAGATCGTTTAAAACAAATTGGACAAAATTTACATTTAATTTGGCAAAGACAATTTACTAATCATTGGTTAGCTAAAACAAGAAGAAATAGGCTTATTAGAAGCATTACTTTTCTTTCGACTGGTTTGTTATTTTTAAAATTTTTTGCTTATTTTTTGGGATTTTTTTCAAACAAGGGAACATTCCGAACTGTATGCACCATCTTGTAGAGCAGGGTCGGAAACCTATTGGCAATTTTTCGAAAACCTATTGGCCACATGGTTTTATTTTTTAAAAATGCTTAAAAAGAGACTTCTTTATTGATGGGGTTCCAATACCTTTGAGGTTCTAAATTCGAATATTTCCCAATGAACCAAAATTTCGATTCATTAGAAATTGATTTTAGTTTATTGGATTAGCTTAAAATGAATTTTATTTTTCTAGAATCCCCTTCATCCTCCACTCAATTTATTGACACAAACTCAAGAAGATTTTTCCACCCCAAATTAAAAACAATTACAACCGAAAAGTTGCGTGAAATGGCCGAAGAAAAAATTAAAATTAATGAACAAAAAAGACAGGAAGAAGAAGAATTGAATATTAATAATGAGAATGGGTTTACAATTGCTAATGGATTTTCTCCAGCAGAAAGTAATGGAAAAAGAGCTACTGCAGTTTCTATTAGGGATGAAATTCTTGATGGTATATCTTTTCAAAATGGTGAGTTGTTTGATCTTGTTTCTGTCATTTTGGGGACTTTATTTTTTACAATTTTTTCTTTTCAAACCTGTCAGGTTAAAAAGGATTAAAAAAGTTTTATTGTGTCGAATATGGGAAGAGAGGACTTGATTTTAGGCTAACCTCACTTTATTATTCATTTTTTCTGTTCCATGTCACCTTGAGTGGTTAAATTAAGGATTGAAATTGGGAATGGATTAGTTATTCAAATTAATATTTAACCTTCTATTTATGATTCACCTTTCCTGTCCTCATATCTTTTTGAGGGGGTTAAAATTAGGAAATTAAAATATTAAAAATGAATTAATTATTAAATTTTAGAGAATGGAACACAAGGAGGGGGATTTTTTGCTGAGTCAACATCCAAATTAAATCTTTTCAAACCTGGTATGACTAAAAATGCGGAAAACTCACAAAAATTGGTTGAAGAAATGTTAAAGAAGAAAAGGAGAATTGATGATAGAAGAAGAGAAACGAATGACAGTGATGATTTTGATAATGATGATGTTATTATTGACTTTCAGAGCTTTCCAACAACCTCCGAATTAAAACGGAGGAGGTTGATTTAAATTAATTTTATGTGTATTAATTAAATTATTAATTGTGAGAATCTCTATATAATGAATTATTATTTCCTTGCGACCTAAAAAGCTTTAACACTAACCAGAAAAGTAACTTCAGAAAAGTAACCCGAAAGGAACTTCTTTAGGCAAAATTTTTGGCGAACTGATAACTTTTCTTTCCTTCGGTTAACCGAACCGGACTTCGGGTTTTCAGAGTTCGATTCGTAAGCATACTAAAAATTGTAAATATTTCATTATAGAGAGTATATAAGATATCGTTATATACGAGGTTAAAAACTATTTTTGATCTTTTTTTGAATTTTTTATTGTTGTTTATTCAAACACTTAAAAAACAATTTAATTATCCAAACTTTTAAAATTAAATATATTTTTATTTTATAAATTAATTAAGAGAGATCTATTTTTTGTATAGATTTTTTAAAATTAATTTTCCTTTCCTCTAGCCAATCCTCTAATTTGATTGGCTGCACTCCCTCGAAGTATCCATGCAAGCGAGCGAAGCGATATTCCTCGACGGCATATTTCACGTGGAATATTTACCTTTTTTTATTTTTTAAAATTAAAAATTTAAATTAGAAAATTAACCCACCGGAATGACTCTTTTGCGAGTATTCCTGTTTAAGGGGAAGAGAAAATGTTTTGAATAAAAAAAGTAAAAGAAACAAACGTTTCAATTAATCTCAAAACCATTTTGTCTGTCTTTGTTGAATACCCACGTTTCCAATTTGCAGGGTTATTGCCAAAGACAGGTACAAATAAAGACCTTTTTTAAATTAAATATTTTGCAAATTTTTATTTTTAAATAACTTTTCTGTCCCCAACATTGTTGTGTAAAGCCCACAATTTCCTTCATCCTTTACATATTTTTCCTCATCCCCTATTGGAAGTTCTAATACAGCAACCTTAATTTTTTAGAGGGTCATTAGATTTAATATTTTTGCACAGGCTTGAGTTTGATATAAGTAATATATGCTGCTAGCTAGGGATGGATATAGGAGTGAAAATCATGTCCAAAGTTCAATAAAAATCTCTTGCACTCAAGAAAAGCGATTGAACTCGTTCCCGAAATAACAAAATTGGAAAGATTAATTCCGAAAGATTTCCAAACGCTCGGATAAATATTATCCAATCAACCTCCCCACTGCTGACTGATAATTTTTATTTTTACTTATCAAATGGGCAGAGAAAGTCATAACGGGATTTTAATAGGAATTTGGTCAAGTTCAGTTGATTTTTACTCAATCCGTTTCTACTCCATATAATTAAGGAGGAGTATTTATTTACTCAATGCCTGTAATTATTTCCCTCTTTTTTAAAAATTCACACATCTTTCTTTTCCCGCTTGTAAAGTTCAGAAATAGTCCTCGATTTAGTTACTGGATCCAAACCAGAAATTATTAAAAGTCCATCATCAGCAAAAGCGAGAACATCATCCAATCTTAAATTTTTTCTGCCGGTGAAGGATGTTGGGGAAGGAACAATTACAACCTTTAATGACTAATTTTTGCATTTATTAGAGGAAAGACCTTATTGAAAGCATTTTGTAGTTTAAGTGTTAAACTCCATTCAGGCAGCTTCTCCATATTTGTAATTAAGGCAGTCTTTTAAAGGAGAAAAATATATTTTATTATTCTTAAAATTTAATTAATTCTCCATAGCCTGCCCCACCCCACAAATACAACGAGAAGGCCACTTTAAACGGAAGTTGGCGAGTTCTGTTAATGTTTACCCTGACTTAAACTACAGTGAAAAAAACAAACTACAGTGTTATCTTTCACGATTTTTAAAAAAATTTTGCTACTGGGCAAGAAAACTGCCTAATTAATGCCTTCAGAATTAAATAAGTACATCTCACTATAAAATAAGATTTTTCTAGTCTGAATGTAACTCAATTTGAAAGCTCGAGCGACACAGAAATTTAGAGATTCTAGGTATACAGTATGAATGTTAAAATACAAAGGAGAAAAAATATAGCCCAAAAAAATATACCAAAAAATACACCCGAAAAACCCCCCAAATTCCCAAAAAACATAGCCCCCCCCTTTCTAAAATATACCTCAACACTAATTTAAAAATAAATTTAAAAAATACATTAGAAATAAGCGCTCTATTCTTTCCATTGTCGACCACATCCCTTTAACAACATTTTTTAAAAATTTTTCAAATTATTCAAAAAATCCAAATTTTTGGCTACCTTCCAGAAAGAACAACTTCAGGTTCCCTTCTTTGAAGTTTAATTCGATTTTTCATTAAAAACCGATTAATACTGTCATCAACTTGTTTGGAGGCGATTGGGGCCCATTCAGCATTCCTTTGTTTAAAATTATTTGGCAAGTTAAAAATTTTTTTAATTTAAAAATTTTGTTACCTGTAAATAAATTTTATTTGTTTCAAACAACCCATTGGGGCAAAATCACGTAAATTGATATCATAAATATTCCCTTCTGTAAAAATACATGTTTTATTTTTTAAACTTAAAAACCTCGATTTTACGAAAACATTTGGGAATAAAAATTCTGCGTATTACAAGGAAGGAAAGAAGTGCATATCTGGCAAGAATTTAAAACGCTTACTAGACAAGAGTTTATTAAAGAGCGTCATGTTAGCTCAATCGGTTGAGCAACTATGTTTACGTTGTGGTGCACAGATGGGGGTGTACATAAAATCGAGGTCATCTCTTGTAAAAGTCCCCATACCTAATAATAAAGTTGAAGGTAAATGTTCTCTCAACATTTTTGTTCGGCCATCTAATAAAGGCATTGTATGCCTATCTGCTATTAATATAGCTGTTTCATATTCTTTTAAAAATTAAATTAATTTCGTTTTTAAATACAAAATACCATTTAATATTTTTACAAGTTTTATTTGAAATTCCACAATCGAAATAAAATCGTCTGCATAATTGACGTCCCTCAAAACAAAAAAAAGTTAAAATATTTTTCCCCTATATATCTCTAATCGTAGTAATTAATTTAATTAAAGAGAGACCGAGACGAGACTCGATAAAAACCTTAGTTTAGGATCTGGCTCCAGAGCCTGAGAGCCGCTGCTAAGATTTAATAATGTCTGGCTGGATCCGTTGTCACAAAAGCCCAATACTCAGCATTAGCCTCTACTTGTAACTTAACAACATCAATCCTACCAAAGGCCTCCTATCTCTCTTAAATGATGGTTGATAGACAATAGAGATCGAGCTGGGCCTGGACCAAGGCCTGGGATTTTCCTGTACCCAGAGTCCAGGCCCAGGCATTTTTTGATCTTCCTGGGTTTTTCCTGGACTACTCCGGCCCAGGTCAATAAATCAAACTCCAGAGTCCAGGAACAGGTCCAGGCTTTTCAAAAATCTAATCTCGATCTCTAATAGACAAGTTCATTACTAAAGGACAAATACAGAAGAGGTCAAATCAAAAGAAATTTCTTCCTTTATAATCCCCTTCCTTTATATTCATTTTTTCAATTCCTAACTCGAATACCTCTCATTTTGGGACCTTATTTAATAAACAAAAATGTATCCCCATACCATATTGAAGGTGCAGCAAGAACAATAAGACTTCTATTTTCATAGGGTAATTTTAAAGGATTTGAATTTATTGAAGGAAAAAAATTAAATAAAAAAATAATAAAAAATATTTTGGACATTTTTTGGGAGATTAAAATTAAAAGAAAAGAAAGTTTTGTGGATATTTGGAAACAAAAAGGAAAATGATTATTACCACAGGTTTTTGAATGATTATAGACAAAACAGTTAACAGCAACTTTTCCTCCTTTCTTTTTTAGCGGCCACTCTCGCCAGGCTGATTATTTGGAAAAACAGGAGTTTTGTTTTTGTGTTTTTGTTCCTCCTTTGCTCTTTCACACAACTGGCCGATAGCTAGCTGATTAAGGAAATTAAAAAAGAGAAAAGTTGCGCGGCCTCGGAGAGATATGTATAATAAAAATAAAATAATGGCCTCGGAGAGCCATTTTAATTGTTTCCCACGATTATTTTTTTAAAGAGACGAGAAGATAAGAGAAAAGAAGAAACAGTCCAAGGGATATATGCAATAGTCACGGATGTTCCATTTGATTGTAAAGCTGTTTTGGGGATTTAATCGAGAAAGGGAGAGAGGAGGGGAAGAAGGAAGAGAGGGGAAGAAGGAGGAGAAGAGAAGGAACATGTGATGTGACGCGATAATTGCAATCGAGAGACTTGATTGATATTTTGCTTTTTTATAAAAAAAGAAAGAAGGAAATGATGATGTGATCATTTCGGCATTCGAAGAAAAGAAAAAAAACAAATGTGCAACAACTTGTTGGGGAACAGGAAAAGAAGAAGTATTGAAAAGATAAAGGAAGATGATTTTTTATAAAAAGAGAGGGAAAATGACGAGAGACTTGATTATGTACTAATTACATAAAGGAAATTATTGCGCGATCCTTCTTTCCTTTTTAAACAGGATAGACAAAAAATAATTTAAAATTGTGAAGTTTTTTGTTAGAAAGGATAACCGATTAAATGAGTATCTTCTTCTGTTAGAACCAGTGCCTCGAAGCTCGTACCAAAATTTGTACTCGTACCTCGTACTCGCACCTGGTACGAAGTACGAGGCCAAAAAAAGAGGTGGTACGAAGTACGAGTACGAGAAAAATCGAAATTTCGAAGCACTGGTTAGAACTTAATGTTCCGGTAAATTCCAAATCAGTCACCCCAAAAGAACGATCAAATATTTTGAGGTATGTATCTGATGGAAATTATATTTCAATATCCTCAGGGGCCAACGCAAATTAAGGAGACAATCGACAAACGACAGATATATTTTTCACGTTTATCGTCCGAATACGTCGTTTGTCGAATACCTCGAACGCAAATTAATATCTTTATCGTTTGTCGTTTATCGTCTCTATTATATCGATTGTCGTCGAGATTTGTCGTTTATCGTTCGAAATTAATCGTTTGTCGTTTGTAACACTTTTTTATTATGGTAACAAGTGAAAAACTACGGTAGTTGAACGACAAATTTAGTGGATGCTCAATCCCGTCCCCCAAATTTATCGTTTGAAATTTTAAAAATTTTTTAAAAATCCAAATTCAGCTTAAAAATTCCAAATAAAATATTTTTAGATAGATTGGAATGTGCTCTATCTTTTGATAAAAGTTTCAGAAATTTTTCTTTAAAAATAAATTTACTAGGGGCTCCCGCGTAAGGTACATCCATTTTTGGGAGAAATAGGGACTCATTCTCTCAAATAGGCCTTTTATTTTTGATTAAACGTCTTATAAATTTTATAACTATTAGGAAAATAAAGCTAAAATTCTTATTTTTACTTATAATATGTAAAACACTCTCCTCTATCTATTGATATAAAAATTGGAGGGATTAAGGGGATATTGATGGATTTGGAGGGATGTCGATATATTTGCAGTGATTTAAGTATAGATCAAATTAAAAGGATTGTGAGGGATCAAGGGGAATATCGAAGGGATTTATGATTAAGGGTATATGGAGGGATTTGGTGTCGAGATTTTTTTATAAAATGATTGGATTTTGATTCAATAAATGTATAATTTTCTTCGTCTATTGAGGACCCCCGACTTCCTATTGCAAAGTAATATTTGTTTTCTTGCAAAGACTTTGGGCCAAGTTATGGCTAGTCAAAGTTTCAGTCCTCGAGTGTGTTTGAGTATAAGGAAAAGAGGGAAAAGGAGTAAAATATCTAGTTTTTTTCACTCTCTCTGTTTGCTTTACATTTTCTTATAAAGTTGAAAAAGGAATACATGAGTCGCGAGGAATAAAAAGAATAGAGAAGAAATTCTTCTATTATATCGTTTGTCTCCTTAATTTGTATTGGAGGTAAACGCTAAACGACAATGGACAATTGATAAAAAAAATTTCCATAATATCGTCAGCTGATATATTTCAGACGATAAACGATATATTTGTAATATATCTATCGTTTGTCGATTGTCTCCTTAATTTGCGTTGGCCCCAGGGGCCAATAAAAATTAAGGAGACAATCGACAAACGATAGATATATTTTTCACGTTTATCGTTCGGATACGTCGTTTGTCGAATACCTCGAGTAAAAATAAATATCTTTATCGTTTGTCGTTTATCGTCTCTATTATATCGATTGTCATCAAGATTTGTCGTTTATCGTTCGAAATTAATCGTTTGTCGTTTCAAACGATAATTTATTATGGTAACGAACGGAAAACTACGGTTTTTGAACGACAAATTTATCGGATGCTAAACCCTGTCCCCCAAATTTATCGTTTGAAATTTTAAAATTTTTTTAAAAATCCAAATTCGACCTAAAAATTCCAAATAAAATATTTTTAGATAGATTGGAATGTGCTCTATCTTTTGATATAATTTTCAGAAATTTTTCTTTATAAATAAATTTACTAGAGGCTCTCGCGCAAGGTACATCCATTTTTGAGAGAAATAGGGACTCATCCTCTCAAATAGGCCTTTAATTTTTGATTAAGCGTCTTATAAATTTTATATCTTTTAGGAAAGTAAAGCTAAAATTCTGATTTTTACCTATAGAATGTAAAACACTCTCCTATATCTATTGGTATAAAAATTAGTGGGATTAAGGGGATATCGGCGGATTAAGGGGGATATTGGTGGATTTGGAGTTATATCGATATTTTAGGGGATTAAAAGAGATACATATTTGAGTTTTAACCTTCACGGATAATTTTTAAGAATTGAAGGGATTCATAAGATTGATGGGATTAAGTTACTGCGAATTTGGTATATTTTGTAGTACCATTCGATAGAGGACACCCGACTTCCTATTGCTAAGTATTTTTCATTTTCTTGCAAAACGACTTTGGGCTAAGTTATGGCCATTCAAAGTTTCAGTCCTCGGGTGTGTTTGAGTATAAGGAAAGGAGGGAAAAGGAGTGAGATGTCTAGTTTTTTCACTCTCTCTGTTTGCATTACATTTTCTTACAAAGTTGAGAAAAGAATACAAGAGGCGCGAAGAATAAAAAGACTAGAGAAGAAATTCTTCTATTATATCGTTTGTCTCCTTAATTTTTATTGGAGGTAAACGCTAAATGATAATTGACAATTGATAAACGATAATTTCCATAATATCGTCAGCTGATATATTTCAGACGATAAACGATATATTTGTAATATATCTATCGTTTGTCGATTGTCTCCTTAATTTGCGTTGGCCCCAGGTCTATTTTAACGTAAAAATAGCATCCAATTGATGTTCATTCCTTAAAAAACATAATGAAGGCTCTCGGGTAAACCAAGGTCTCTAACATTCCTTTATATGTCAGCTAAATCCGGCCCCGAGGATGAAGAGTTAGAGAGATTTGACTGTATTTGGTGCAGGATGATTTACAACCTGAGATAACTCGAGGGTTAGATATATGGGAAGGTTGAGTATGTAGTACTTAAATCGACGTGAAAAGTCGGTGAATTTTATGTGAAAATATTTTATTAAAACCCCCCCCCCCCCCAAAAAATAAAACCCCCAAAATAATTAAATACTCTAATGTCCTGTCTGTTGAAAAAAGATGTGTGTCTGACTGAAACAAAAGAAATCTTTGTTATTAAAATTTTAATTTACTTATTTTAATTTAATTTTATTTATTTTAATTATATTTTTTCAAGTAGTTAAATTAATGACGTCATAAATTAAATTAAAATAAATGTGTGAGAATTATTCAGAACAACAACTACCAGAAACAAGCTTTTGGTAAATTTTAAAAATTAAATTTTATTTTTCTTTTTTAAATTGAGTAATCGTTAACAATTTTATTTTAAAAAATATTTTCTTCCAATCAATAAAATACAAAAAATATGTAAAATAAAAATAAATTTTTAGACATCACATGATTTTTTTTGTTTATTTATATTTATTTGTTTAGGCTGTCAGTTAATTTTTAGACACCATTAGAGTCTCGGGGTTCGAGTCCAAAGAAAACACTTTTAAGATTTTTAAGGATTTCTTGCTCTGAATTTAGAATACCACCAGATAGTCAATTAAATTAGATGCCCCTGACCCTAGAATTTTTTAAAAAAATAAAATTCGAGGATTTCTATTATTCAATATATGTATACTTAATTGAAGAAAGAAGCATTTTATAAGTTGACGAAAAATTCTAATTTTATTTTCCCAAAAATATTTAAGACTCAAATGGACAATTAACACCAACCTGTCAATTTCCTCCAGTTAACCCCCTTCCATAATTGTTTTAACGATTACTTTTCCTTTTTTTATTTTTAAAAATTTTCCAAAAGTTATATTGAGGATTTGGTTAAACAACAAATAAATGAAGCTATTCAAGAATCTATTCCTCGTCTGTTAGAGTCTGAGAAAGGCGACAGAAAAAGTTTTCTAAAAATTTTTTTAAAATTTTTAAAAATTCCCCTTTCAGGCTTCTTTGGCTCATTAAAAACAATTTTATTACAAAAATTAAATTCCCGGTATGAATTGAGTATGCCTAATATTTTTGTTTTTGTTTTATTTTTCTGGACTCTATTTTACACTTTTAGAAATTCCAGGCTGGTTTTTAATTAGAGGACGGTTGGGTGCGGAGTTTTGAGTGTCTGGGCTGTTTTTAGGGATTTTTGGGATAATCTGGGAAATTCTTTTTTTTTAAAAGCTTGGGATCTTCTGTTGGTTCTAACCAATTTTTTTAAATTTTTTAAATTAAAAACATTTTTTCTAACCGAAATTTCTACAGATTTTTTGTTTGAAAAATAACCAAAAATTCTTGTAAAAATCACAAGTACCTTCATTTATTTGCCCGTAACTTTTTTTAGAAATGAACGGACAGGGTTGGTCCAATTAAACAAAATATTCCCCACTTTTAGAGCTTTCGAATGATATAAAATTTGTTTTTTTTCTGATTTTAAAAATTCTAAAAAATTTCCAAAAAATTAATTTCTACACACTCAAAAATTTCGCTCTCAACCGACCATTTTCTATTAAATTAATTTTTCACATTTTCTCAGATTTTTTGCAATTTCCTTTCCGGATAGAGAAGCTCCTTTGCCTTCTCCTTTTTTTAAAAATTCTGAAGGCCTTTTAAAAGACTTTTATGATGGAAATATTTCTGAATTTGAAACTTTGAGATTTAATGCTGAATTTACAATTGTGGTAAGTTTTGGAGTCTGAAATTTGGGTAAAAGAGTATTTTCCTCTCCGCAAATATCAGACTCTAATGGAAATTTTGAATTTAATTTTTAAATTTAAATTTTAGATGTTATATGCTCCATGGGATTTTAGATGTAAATTATTTCGGTCTTCTTTTCTTTATGTTGCGGGTTTATTTAAAGAAATTAATGAGGTTTTTTTAATTTAAAAATTTTTTTCAATTTTTGACATACTCAAGAGGACCCCTATTTTTAAAAATTATTAGTTTTCTGGTAAAAAAATTCGTTTCAAAGGGGTTTTTGAGAGTGCTGAAATGAATTAATCTGTATTTTATTTATAGGAATCTCAAAAAATTTTTTTTAATTTTAAAAAAAAATTTAATTCACATCAGCATTTTTTAGAAAAATTTTTGAAACAAAATCCGTATTTTATTAAGAATACTGATTTCAATTAAAGTCCAGCATTCTCAAAAATAAAAAACAAATTTATTTTTTAAAAATTTATTTGAAATTTTAGATAGTAAATTTTGTATTTTTGCGTCTTTTCAAAATTAATATATTTTTAATTTTTAAAGATAAAATTTATTGCTGTAAATTGTAATTATTACAAAGGAAGATGTAGATCTATGTATAAATTATTGGCTTTCCCTGTTATTTTTGCCCAAACACAATATAACCAACCAATTATTTTTAATCAATTTTTGTCTTCTGAAAGGCTTTACAGGTTTTTTCTAAATTTTTTTAAATTTTAAAATCGAGGTCCGGCCCGTAGCCAGGATTTTTTCTGGGGGAGGAGGGGGGGGGGGGAATTATTCTGCTTTGATTTTTTGGAAATTATTTAAAAAAAATAAAAAAATTATAAAAATTATTCCAAAAATTATTTTTGGCAAAATTTTAATTTTTAGTGCCACAGTCGAAATTTTTGAGAATTTTAGAAGGGCTTACCCTCTCCTGGCTACGGGCCTGATTGAAACTATAATTTTAAAATTTTTTTAAATTTAAAATTTAATTTTTTAGTTGGATAATTAATTTATTATTTCCATTTAATATTGTCAATTCTGAAGAGAATTTAAATAAATTAATTTTAAATTTTGAATTTGTTGTAATTGGACATTTTGAATTTAATGTAAATTTTTAAAAAAATTATTTTTTTTAATTTAAATTTATTTTTCAAGTCAATATCCTTTCAATTACCTCGTTCTTACAGTGTTTTTGTTAATTCAATTTATTATTTAAATAATAGAAGGGCTTCTTTGGCTTTTGGGTATTTTTTTTTTATTTTTTAATTAAAATAATATTTTTAATTTTAATTTTATTTAAAATAAAATTACTTTTATTGAAAAATTATATTTAAAAAATTTTAGAACTCGAACAGTTTTTTTTAATTTTTAAAATTTTTTCCCTCCCCTTTTAATTTATTTTATTTAATTTCTCTTTAAAAATATTTTTTAAATTAATTTTTAAATTTTAATAGAAAATTTAAAAATTGAAATTGATACTCTAATGTCTCCTAATTAAAGTTATTTATCCTACCTATTTAGATTTTAATTAGCATATTTGGTGGTGTAGCGGATTAATTGTTGATTTCTTTTGACGAATAGGGAAGGTTCGACTCCTTTCATGTCCCTTTTACTAATTTTTCTACTTTTGAATCTTAAATTAATTTAAAATTAAATTTCCTTTGACTTTCTCGATTAGAAAAAAATTTTTTAATTAAAATTAGAAATTTTTTTAGATTAATTTTAAACAAAACAATTAGTTTAACATTAAATATTTCTTTAAATCAATTAAATATTTATTCTTTAAATTCAAATAATTTATTAAAAATTGATTCATTTGAAATTAATTCAACACAAAAAACTCAAAATGTAGTTGATTGGATTAATAAATGTTTGGGGAATTTTGAAGATAAAATTGTTAAAGAAATTGAAATTGACGGTGAGTTTGATATTTATTTTTAAAATTTTTAGGTTATATTGTTGGTGGTGTAGTGGTATAGGTTTTGAATTTGGCGTAAAATGGGGAAGGTTCGTACCCTTTTTTGTGTTTTCTTTTATTTTTGATTTTTTTATGAATTTTAGATGAAATCTAATTAATTTTATTTATTTTTGTAATATCTAAATAATTTTTTAAATTTTGTATAGATATGTAGGAGGGATTTATTAAAAGTTTTGGGGGAATATTTATTTTGTTTAACTTTTTTAACAAAATTTTTTCTATTAATTTTGGGTTATCTCCTTAGAAAATATTTTTAAAATAAAAAAAAATCAAAATAAACTTACTCCTACATTTAAAAATAAAAGTATAATATTTCCCTTTAATTCTTCCAAAAAAATTTCCAAATATTTTAAATATTTTTAGATGGTGAAAGTCCTTCAAAATCTGATGCTTTATTCAAAAAATTAAATTCCTCTACTTTTAACGTTGTTTTATTTACAAATTTAATTGGATTGAGACAACAAAGTTCTTCTTTAATTGCTTTAAGAAATGTAAATTTTAATTAAAAATTGGGAAAAGTTGGATTAATTAATTACTCATAAAATTATCCATTTAAAACCTAAAATCTTGAAATTTTATTTTTATATCCTCCATATTGTCTCTCACTTTCTCTAAAAATGTTAGATTTTTTGGTTTATTATTTAAGAAACTCTGGTCAAAAAACTGCTATAAATGGGCATTTTCAATCAAAAATTCTGATTTTCTGACCAGAACTTCTGAAATATAAAACCAAAAATTCTGAAATTTTTGGGGATTTTAGATACTACGTTTGAGGGCGTCTTTGTAAAATTTCACAATTTTAGATCCACTTTGGGCTATTTTATAAGCATTGGCGCCGTATCGGTATCGCGCCCAAACATATTATTCAAAATTATTTTGAAATTAATTTCTTTAATTTTTAGATAGCAAAAATAATTAATTATTGCCCTTCAGATTCAAATAATTTAGAATTAAATGAATTACCTCAATTTTCATCAAAAAATAATTTGAACAATTTTATACAAAAATATAGAAATTTGTGTTTAATTAAAGAAGAAAAGATAATTTTTTGTTGTAAATATTATCAAAATTTGTGTATAAATTATTCGTTTAAAGAATATATTCAACAAATTTATGGAAGATTTAACTGTATGAAAATATTTGAAATTTACCCTAAATGTAAATTTAAATAATCTCTCTGACTTATCAAATCCCTTTGGATTATTGGGATAAATAGAGTTTGGGGTGGGTGGATCTCAGGAAAATCAGGACTAATTTGTAAGACTAAGTGACGGGTCGATGTATAATGGGCGAACCGATATAGTAGAGAGGGAATGAAACTGAATCCAATAAATCAAGGAATGTTGCGAATAGGAGATTAGCCCGGATATACTAATCTGAAAATAGTAAGAATATCGGATTCTGATTTCCGTGGGTTCTCAGGATCTGCCAACTATGTAGTTGTGAATTTGATAGGGATAGGGAGCTCTGAACATTTTACCGACTTTGGGATAAAATCGGAATTTTAGATCTACTCAACTTATATTGTCAATCGTCCAAAAATATAAGAAAACATCAAAGAACTCAAAATTCAACGTCAATAATTAATTTACTTGGATTAAGGCAGCAATATTTAAACTGTCAATTAATTAAATTATTAAAAAAGAAATTTAATTATTTATTTAAAAAAGAAGAATTTTTGGAAGAAGAAAAAAATTTAAATTTATTATTTGGAATTAATTGTAAATTAAATAAAACTTTTGGATTTTTGGCAATTGATAAAAGAATTGGAAATTATTTTATGAAAAAATGGGGAAATTATGAAGAAGATGAGAGGAAAGATTCTTTAGCTATAATATCTAGAGAAGATGAAAAAATATTTTGGTTGAAAGGAGAAGGAAAGGAAGGATTAAATATGTTGGTATAAGTTAATTTATTTTTATTTTAACGAGAACTCCTATTTTGAAATAAAAAATTATTCCTAATTAGGGCTGGTTGGGGTTTTCGAGTCGGTCCGACGTTTGAGTCATTTTTTCGGACCGACCCGACCGAGTCTTTTTCGGACCAAAATTCAATGCCCGACTCGATCTTTCGGACTCCCAACCCTATTCCGAAATTGGAATTTTGAAGCAGCTCTGATAGGGACTCATAAAACTCGTTCAAATAAGCGGTCAGTGCTATCTTCTCTTTTAAGCTTTCTTCATAAAAGTCTGGTTCTGAATCTAGGAAGCATGAATTGGCAATTCTTTCGAGAGACACCCCCCTCCCCCCGATTTGCCTGACAAATCTCTTTACTTCTTGTAAATAACAAAGCTTTCCTCTATTTTCTATTGGAAATCAATTATAATTAAAGACTGGACTATGAGGATTGTATGAGAATATCATATGAAAATCACTGAGAAACCTTTACTTCTTATAAATAAATGATTTAAAAAATTCCTCTATTTTCTATTGAAAAATGAAGGGTGTACAAGAATCCGTATTGATATCTCGAAAAATATTTATCTCGATAACCGATTTTTTTGGTCCGGTGAATTGTCTTAAAAGAAGCAATTTTTGGATTTAAATTAACCCTAAAAATAATTTATTTTTAATTTTCAGCAATTCAATTAGTCAATTTATTTCAAATTTTCTCAATTCTTCACTTGAATGGATACCTAAAAACGAAGTTTTGCCTTCCTCAAAAATTAAAAACAAAAAAGCCTCAAGTGTTTTAAATAAATTAAATTTTGAATTATTTAATGAAGAAATTTTGAAAAAAGTTTTCTTTTAATTTAAAAAATTAAAAAAAAATTTTTTTCAAAGGAAAATCGTTCTTTTGATGCTGTTATATTCTTTTCCGGTGGAAATTGGCATGGACCTAGCAAAACTGTTTTACATTTATTTCATCAAGTCAAAATTTATTTTGACAATTTTGGAGAGAATATTAAATTTTATTTGTAAGGAGGGGGAGGGGAGGATTTAAAAATAAATATTTATTCTAATAATAAGATCTTAAATACTAGGAATGGGCCCTATGCCTTAGGGATGGGCCCCTACTGAATTTTAAAAACGGAATTTTGTTGAAAGGTAGAAGCAGAAGCCTATTTCGGTTCTCTGGAAGGAATCCATCCCTTTTAACTACCCAATAGCCCCAACTAGCATAAATTCCAGACTTGGTAATGGACATGGATTTTGGTATTCTTATTTGGATATTCACGGCGGATATCCGCAGGCATTCCGAACTTATCTGTATCCGTATCCATTACCAAGTCTGATAAATTCTGTATCATGGGATGGTTGTGGATTTTTTAAACAAAATTACGGGAATTTATTCTACTGGTTATATATATTCCTAGATTATTTGAAATATTTGGGAGTATTATGTTAATAAAATTTAGACTTAAATTGATTTTAATTTATTTTTATTAAAATTTTTTTAGATTCGATGCAAGCAAAAATTCTTTACCTTGGGCTTATAAATTTGATAGACTTCCAGTTGTTGGATTCTTTCCTTCTTTTATGTAATTTGAATTAAATTTTTACATTCAAAACTCATTTTTAGATTAAGGGGTATTTTAAATAAATCCACTAGGTAATCTGATAAGTTACCATTCATTACTCAGTGGTCGAGCAAAAATTAATCTGAAATTTATTTTACATCTATTTAAAAAATTTATTGAAGTTAAGGAAACATGAAAATAAGAGACTAATTTGGTACTTTCTTAATAAAATTAAAGATAGTAAAATCGTATTATACGATACGGATTGGATTGTCAAAATTTTCTTTAGATCGAGAAAATTCGGACCAGTCCCTAACATCGACCCAATTTAAGATACGATTTTTAAATTTAATTTTGGGGTATCTAAAAGGTTAATTAATTTTAAATATTTCTTTTTCAGTCCAAACGAGAGTAATTTATTTCCAAAAGAATTGGCTTTTACATTTCCAAATTTAATTGGCTTTTTACTTCCTCGTTTAAATAAATTATTTAAATTAAAAATAGCTTTTGAATTATGTTCAACAACAACTTATTGTTTAAATAAAAATGTGGAAAATATTGAGAATTTAATTTTAAATATAAATAAAGATTTGAAATTATTTGGTAAATTGAAAAGAAGAAAAGGGAGTGATTTAATTACAAAATATATTAAAAGGTAAATAAATTGATTTTGAATATATCTGGCAGGATTTAAGGCTGGCTTGGTAAGGGATATGGATACAGGTAAGTTCAAAATGCCTGCGGATATTCGAATGTATCCACTAGAGATCGGTATTTTCAAAAATTCTGGATCTGCATCTAGAAAAAATCCAGGACGATAAAAAAATTTCCGGGATCTGGACTCTTGATCCAGGAAAAATCTAGATTGGAGCCATGTCCATTACCAAATCTGATTTTAAAGTGTAATTTTATAAAACAAAAACGAAAATAAAAAATTAATTAGGTGGAATTTAAGTTCAATACCTAACAAAACTCCTGGTACTTTCCAAAATAATTAAAGGGGTTTGTGCACAAACCCCGGCCCAAAAATTAAGAATAACCGGTAAATCATAATATTGAAAAGACAAATATATTTAAATAATTACAAAATTGAATTTTTATATATTAAACAAAAATGGATTATTTTTATTTTACATTTTTTGAACATCGACCTAATTAAAATAGTTTTTTTAAATTTAATTTTGGAGGTAGCTAAAAACCAAAGAAGAGTGAAAATATGCCTATTTTATACAGGGTGCGGCAAATTAGCGGCCGCTTTTCTTTTGGCTATAACTTTCTTCATTTTTAATGAAAACCGATAATTCTTTTTTTGCTGGATTCCTGACACTCTAAGAATTTTTCTGATAGCAAAATCGCCTTTAAATTTGATAATTTAGTCTGATTGATAATCTCTCAAAGCTCTCCAATCTGATTCGAATGACACCAAAATCAGGTGTCTATCCCGTAAATGGACCGAGATATGGCGTACTGAATGATTCATTAAAATAATTTTGGCAAATACAAAATTTCTGGATAAAATTTTCAAAAATGAAATTATAAGCTAATTCGATGCGCCTGAACGATACGAGTCGATTGGTACTAAAATCATCGGGATTGAATCATTTTTGACGAAGTTATGATCAACTAAAGTTTGGCAAGAAAAAATGTTTTTTGATGCTTTTAAATGTTTGGACCGGTTTATCTATACCATCTTTGTACCAAATTTCTATTTTTTGGCACCAAAAAAATTCTTAGAGTGCTGGGAATCCAGTAAAAAAAGAATTAATAATTTTCATTAAAAATTTAAAAAGTTATAGCAAAAAGAAAAGCGGCCGCCAATTTGCCGCACCCTGTATTTGTTTTAAATATGTATGTTCAAACCTTATTTTAATAAAATACATCCAAATTTAGGATATATTGGTATTAAAAGTTGGGCTACTGAATAGGAAACCGCTTAAGCTTTTTATAATTACTGGTATTCGTAGAGGAATTTTGATTTTTAATATTTTGAAATGTTTTTAACAATGATTCTTAATAATTGCTCTACAATTCCTCTACAAATCCCAGTCCCCCCTCCCCCATTAAGCGATATCCTCAATTTAAGTTATCCCTTTATTAAATTTCCTTTATTAAATTGACACAACCGTCTTTTACATATTTTTTTAAAATTTTAGACTAAAATTTCAAAAATCAATGGTTGTACATTTAAAACAAATATTATTATTCTCATCTTTACAAAATCAAAAAGAAGTGGATTTTAAGAGAAGAAAAAGAAAACTTTTATTTTTATTTTGGTTGTTGGAAAGAAGATTTTAATTTTAATTTAAATTTAAATAAATATTTATTTTTTGTTGTTGTTTCTGTTATTGCCTTATTATTATTTTATGAGAAGAATATCTTTAGTTAAGTTTTGCTGTCTTTATTTCGGTTAACAAAACCTAAGGTACTTACCAATGTACTTACCAATATTTATTGTTAAAAACATTTGAAAATTTCAATTAACTAGAATTAAAAATCAGAATTCCTCTACATAATCCCAATTCCCCCCTCACTTAGTGCCAGTCTTTATCCAATCTCAACTTGCCATAAACGGGGTAACAAAAGATTAACTGAACACTTTTCATTTCATCTTTTTTTTTCTTATTAATATTTTTTAGTAATTTTATACTCATTTTGCCCCACATTTCCCAACAAGCTTTTTGGTTAGCTCGTTAGACTGACAATAATTCGAGTGTTTTATTGAAGCAGGGAACAAGCCTATAAAAAATAAAATTTCCCGGTTTTTGCGAATTAGAAATTCAACTGTGGGAGTTTCCAATTCTTTGGGAATCGGAACAGCTATTTTCCTGTTTTATAGTACATTTATACTTTTATCAGAAAAAATGTACTTAAATTTTTTTAGCCATATTTTAACATAAAATTAAACAAATTTTCACCTGCGAATTAATAAAGAATAAAGTAAATATTATTTAAAAATTATATAAAATTTCTAAATAATTCTTAGCTGGAAGTAAAATTTAAAAGGTATGTTGCGAATGAGAATTTAAACATAAACGAAATTAATAATTAATTATTTTCTACGTCTATTAAAAATAATTATAGTATAAGGAAATGCAGGTGGAAATGGGAGGGAAATTAGATAGCTTTTTAGGGTAGCAACCCAACCCCCGAAACCTCGACATGCCTTCCCCGGCAAACCCCGATCCCCGACACACCCGCCCCCGAAGGGTTGGGCTGCTACCCTAGTTTTTTTTAATATTCATAAACTTTGATAGAAATACTCTACTTAAAAAACTTAAAAAAATCTTTTAAAAAATGTCCTTTGATTTCCTTGATATTTTATTTAAATTTGATTATTTTGTTTGTTTATTAATTGGTTTCCCTTTAAATATAATTCTAATTATTTTAATTAATTTTAAAACTCCAAAAGAAATGAAAACACACAGTCAAATTTTGATACAAAATTGTGTTTTGGATATTTTAATGTTGACTGTTCAATTATTTATTCAAGAGGTTATATTAAAACAGAAAAAGAACCTCAAAATTAAAATAATAAAAATCAGATTTTAGAAAGAAATATTTCATAAAAACCAGAATAATCTTTAACTAAAAATCAGAATTTTATTGAATAATAATTAGTGTCAGGCAAAATATTTGCGGAGTCGGATCAGAGATTAACCAATACAATCCAATCCACACAGATTTTCTAGATTAACCGGGCCGGGAACCGCAGATTGCGAAAAACCCCGAATTTGGGACCCGGTTTCCTGAAAAATCATGCTGGGCACTAACAATAATTAATAGTTACCTAATTAATATTTAACTTTAAAACCGAGTTTTATAGTATTATATGGTTGATATAGAAGGGAATACAATTACTATTTTTCCTAATGGAATTTTGCTTTGGTTTGGTAAAAGTAAATTCGTTTATTTGGTATATTGTTTTTATATTTTGGCTGTTTATTTTTTATTTGAATTTACATGGATTGTGTGTTCAATTTATTTATAGATATTTAGTTTTGGTTAGGTGAGTAAATTAATACAAAGATGTCAAAAAATATTGTTTTTTCTTCCTTTGTAACCTTAAAAAACCGCCTGAACCCATACCCAGTTCCATATCAGAGCCAAGAACAAGTGGAATATGAAAGGGGATACTTATAGATCATTGTTGTTAGTCCGGCGGCCGGACATTATTCGCTTTCACCCTTTCAGAGTGATTAGACGGACGACAGCTATTTCCTCCGATCGGGCAATAATTATAAGACTGAATACTATTTATTTGACTAATTAACTGACTGATTCTTTCCTTCCTTGATTATCTTGGTATATCCCAGCAAATCCGGACTTATTCGAATTCGGGTCCCCCAAACCTATTTAGAACTCATTGGCAAAGAGAAAATTAAAAATTAGGCGGGGTGTGTGGAAAGTTTACATAATTATTTCTTAGTCCTATTCCCGATATTACTATTTTAGGAATATAAA